CATTACACGATGCTGGCTTCACAGACGGGAGGGGCCTTGACCCGGAAATGACGGTACGCGACATAAACATCCACCAACACCCACGCGTTCCATTCACAGGGCACAAACCAGCTACTCCTTTACGTATGGGCTCCTGGAATTCTGACGACTAATTACATGCACAGGGCGTCTGTCTCGGCTCCGGAATCGGCAACCTGGAAGATCTCTACAACACGTCCCTGGCGTATGCCCAAGAGAAGAACTACCGCAAGATCCATCCGCTCTTCGTTCCCCGGCTGCTGATCAATCTCGGAGCCGGGCACATCTCCATGCGCTACGGCCTCAAAGGCCCGAATCACGCCGTCACTACCGCATGCACCACCGGTGCCCACAGTCTCGGGGACGCCTCGCGCTTCATCAAATCCGGGGAAGCGGACGTGATGATTGCCGGTGGTGCTGAATCGTGCATCCATCCGCTCGCGATAGGCGGCTTCGCCCGCTCGAGGAGCCTGGTGACCAACTTCAATGAAGAGCCGTGCAAGAGTTCCAGGCCGTTCGACCAAGACAGGGCAGGATTTGTGATCAGCGAAGGCGCGGCTTGTGTGGTGCTTGAGGTAAGCCAAGTCGAATTGAAACTCGCGAGACGATGGCCAGCCACCGCAACCAAACCAGACAAGATTCTGACGTTTTGAGACAAAAGGAGATGGACCATGCCAAATCCCGCGGCGCCACAATCTACGCCGAACTCGTCGGCTACGGCAATTCGGCAGACGCTCACCATCTCACTGCGCCGCTGGAAAACGGCGCCGGAGCCCTTCTAGCCATGCAAAAGGCTCTCAAGCAAGCTCAGATCCCTCCCTCCAGAGTAGATTACATTAATGCACACGCGACTTCCACACCGTTGGGGGACAAGGCCGAGAACCAGGCGATCAAGTCACTCATGCTAAGCAAATGCGGCAGGAGATTTGCTGAGGAGATCAATGTGAGCAGCACCAAGGGCGCGATTGGGCATCTTCTAGGCGCTGCAGGAGCAATTGAGGCTCTCTTCACTATTATGGCTGTATACGAGGTACGTACTTCCAGTCTCGACCCCCAGGTACGGTGGGATCATAAGATGGTATAATGACAACATGACTGGGCAGAATAACTTGCCGCCAACCATCAACCTCGTCTCCAAGAGCGACGAGTTCGACTGCAACTACGTTGCCAACACAACGCAACAGGCAGAAGTCAACGTCGCCTTGACCAACAGCTTTGGGTTTGGCGGCACAAATGCAAGTCTCTGCTTCCAAAAATGCAAATGAGACTCGTGCGAAGCTGCTGGACTTCTCTAACCGTCCGCCGTAGTCACTACGATCGTTTCTCAGAACAGCATCCCTTGGACCACAAATGACTTGTCTAGGCCACATCAATTGAGGCCTTTCTGAGAGGCGGTTTCAATCCTGCCTGTGCCGTCCCAATGCCTGTCGTTACAGGTGAAGCTGATATCGCCGAGGCAAACGTTTCGTGGATGGCGGATTGAGGGACAGCACTTCGGGCACTCTCCGGAGCGACACTGAACAAGCCACCAGATCTGTTCCCGCTCATAGCGTTTGATAGCATTTCCCTCATCCGGACCAGTTGGTATTTCCGCCGTGTTGGGAATAATTGTTTCGTGACGAGTGGTTGGGGTCGAGTAAGGCTTCTGGCGATGGCTGTCATGACCGAATCTCGCTCTTCATCCGAATCAACAGGGCCGGCCAAACTGGGGTCGAGATCCTCTTCGAGGAGCGCGGGGGCGTTTGCATCGAGCGCGGCCTTCTGCTGTCGTGCCTGGTTCTTTTTCTGGTATGCAGCAAGCAACATGTCGTAAGGCAGACTTCTTCCGGGGACAGCCCGCTTTGCTCCCATCGAATGGCTCTTGCATGTTAAACTCCTTGCGCATTGCCCGCCGTTTGGCAATAGAACACCGCATTGTTTCTCGACGTCGACCGGACCCTTGGGTTTAACTACTTTCTGTTTCTGCTCCTCTCTCTTCTTCTTCTTTCTAGGCTCCTTGTCGTCTTCGGCATCGGCCTTTCGCTTCTTGGTCTTCTTGGGTCCGTCATCGTCGCCGTTGGCCACGTCTTTTCTGGAAGGAGCCTTGACATCATCGTCATCATCATCGTCGTCGTCTGCTTTCTCCGCCCGCTCCTTTGCCCGCGCCGCAGCCTCACGTGCCTCCTTTTTCTTGCGCGCTTTGTCCTGTTTTGACTTTAAGCACAGCGTGATGTGTCCCTTGGCGGTGCGCTTCAGAACCATTTTCTTGCAGTGCTTGCAAATCACAGTGTCGAGGCTTTCCAGGTGGCCATTCGGGAAATTAGCCATGGTCTCGTCGTCGAACTTTGGTACTTCTGGTGAGGGCGCTTCCGCGACATTCTTGACGCCTATGAAGGTCAGCAAATATAGACGAAAGGGAATGGCTCAACTGACCATTTGCTTGGGCTTCTTTCTTGGCTTCCAGAGGCAGCTTCTTTAACTTGACCTTGGGCGCCTTTTTGCTGCCTTTGCTGAACTTGTAGCCGGACGCACTGATGAGGCTTTCTGTGTTGGATGCAACAGATGAGGCTAGAAACGGATATCAGTCCTATCGTCGTCGCGCCGGATTGAATGAACACGAACCTCGTGCCTCATTTGCCGCCATGTTGGAGACCTTATTCGATGGATGTATAGGGAGCGGACTGTCAGACGGGCAAACGAGCTGGAACAGCTTGAGTCGAGAGTGAGCGCTACCGGCCGCGACGTACCGAGTATACTTCTCGAGTCACGGTGTGGTCGTTATCTGCGGTCACCTCTTGCGCACGTCAAAGGAGAAATGCGGAGGATTACTCGGTACGCTGGGGGGAACTGCGGGCGGCGCATCAAGGCTAGACCAATTGCAGTTAGATGGAGCCTTGAATTTAAGGTTATATGTTAAAAGTACTGGGTAGGGATTTCGGTGTGGCAAGAATTATTGCGGTACTTATCGAATACTCTGCAGTAGTAGCTACGGCTAATTATTCCTACGCAGGCGCGATCGAACAAACTGCGGCCTCGTTCGACTCTCATGGGTTCAGCCTGGATAAATGACTTGTTGTCAAGTGTGAGGAAATTGTATTGGCTCTCCATTTGTCCCTCGGCCTCCCTTTCGCCTCCCAGCTTTTCTCATATACGTCTTAGCCATGGACCCAGGGGGCCCTGAATTCCAGCACCCTGAGACCAACCCTCTCATGCAGCGCATCGGCGGGCAATGGGCAGGTCCGGCGCTCCAGAAATCCTTCCAGCTCGAAGTCGCCAACCTTCTTGGGCGAGGGAGAAATACGTCGTTTCCCGGAGCCCAACCCGTCTCTTTCTCTGCAGAGCACATCCAAGAGCTCAAGAGTCAAGACTACTACGTCTGCGAAAAGACAGACGGCCTGCGCTACCTCTTGTATCTCACCCAAGACGGCGACAGGGACATCCACTACTTCATCGACCGAAAGAACGACTACTGGTATGTGCCCAATCTGCACTTCCCACACCACGAAGACAAAACCTTCCGACGATTTCACACGGGCACGATACTGGATGGGGAACTGGTAGAAGACAGATACCCGGATCGGGAACCGGTCATCAAATTCCTTGTATTCGACTGCCTCGTCCTCGACCATGTGGTCTTCATGCAACGTCCTCTCGATAAACGCCTTGCCTACTTCCACAACCATGTCCTCCAGCCCTACAATGCCATGTTCAAGCAACATCCCGAATACACAAGGCCATTTGTGCTCGAGGACAAACAGAATGAGTTCAGTTACGCTCTGGAGAAGATGTTCAAAGAAGTCATCCCGAGGGTGAAACAGATGCACGGAAATGACGGCTTGATTTTCACCTGCCGCGATGCACCCTACAAGATGGGCACAGATCCACATATTCTCAAATGGAAACCTCCCTCGGAAAATACAGTCGATTTTCTCCTCCGTATCGAGTGGGCCAGAATGGACCCGGACCCCGATGATCCAGATCAATCCCCGCAGCCCGACTTCTATTCGATCCCCGAGAAGTTTTCTCTATTCATCCATCTCGGGAGTAACGAATACTCATACGTCGACGACATGTACGTCGAGCCCGAGGAATGGGAAGAGTGGAAGACCCTGAACCACCCTTTGCAGGACATCATCATAGAATGCTACCAGGACGAGCTACAGCGGTGGCGGTTCCATCGGTTCCGACACGACAAGGAGAACGCCAATCACATCAAGGTGTTCAAGAGCGTGATCAGGTCGATACATAGCCATGTGACGGAGCAGGATCTGCTGAATCACGCCGCCGAGATCAGAGCAGCCTGGAAACTTCGCGTCGAGGAGGAGAAGCGGAAGAGACTTTCAGTGAAGCAGGAGGGGTGAATCATTTTCATTCTAAAAGCAGGATAGGATTTAACGTGGTGTCGAAGGACAGGGAGGCTGGAGCGCTCGCCATCAAACCTATTTTTTTTTTTTTTTTTTTTTTTTTTTGACGTATACGATAAGATACCCCCGGTAGTTGGCTGGTAGTTGGTTCTGGGGAAAGGTTTTTGGGATAAATAACAGCTTCTGCTGCTGCTTGCTACGACTACTGCTGCTGCTGCTGGCGAAATGCCAAGTCTCACGGCATTGGAACCGGAGCTCTTTTTCTTTTCTTTTCTTTTCCGTTTTTCTTTCTTTCTTTCTGGTGGGCGTAATGTATGGCGTACGGATATGTGTTGCAAATCGAGTTATACCTAGGTATCTCGGAATTTGTCGCCACTGAACGAGCAGATCATAACAGATCAGGCCAGAGTGAGAAGCACGAGATCAAGAAGCAGACAAAGAAACCTTTTTTTTTTATAAAATAAAAATCGAGATTTTGTCTTTGCGGACACTTTTCATCCTCGTTTTACATGTTACATTTTTATGTCCCATGTCCGTGCGTTTTTACATCTTGCAGTTGTATAATATTCATACACTCCGCTCCCTCCCAGGCAACTCTGTGCCTAAATTGCCCCTGAGGTTTGTGGCGGAGGAACTCGATCAGTACCCGATATACTGCTGCTGCCCCGGAGAAGTGGTGGTGGCGTTGGCTGTGAACTGTCGTCCGGAGCTGGTCGTAGGCGCCGCTCGCACCCCATTGACGCCGCCGTTGGCGTCCGTCATCGGCGTGTCTGCGCTGCTGGCGGTTTCGTCCCGCTGGTGGGCTCTTCGCTCGCTGCTGCCGTCGGTGTCGCCGCCGCCGCCGCCGAGGAAGCGGTACGGCGTGCTCGTCCAATCTGTCGCTGCTGCTGCTTCTGCCGCGGCCATGATTGGGCCGTGTGTGTCGTGATCTCGATGGTCGTTCTTGTCGCGCTGCTCGGCAAGGACCTCTGATCTACTTGGCATTGGGTGCTGGGGCGTCGGATTCGGCGCGGAAGGAGGGAGGGGAGGAGACGTATTATAGAACGGCGGTGCATTGTCGTTCATGGATATGGATAGCATGTCTGGGTTCGGCAGAGCCATCCACTGGTCAAGGAAGGGCCAGTCGACGTCCATATTCATCGGTACGGACGACATCTCTGCTGCTGCTGCTGCCGCCGCCGCCTCGCCGGAGGATGTTGTCCCCGTCCCCTTCCCCGCCGCCATCGTCGTCGCTGAGGACAGATTCGCCGTCGTGGGCAGCGCATATGCTGCTGGGCTGAAGGGGAGGAAACTCATGAACGGGTTCGGACCGAGGCCTGGGTTTTGCAAGCCCGGCATCAGGCGCAGGTTCGGGTTCAGCGGAGCGTTGCTGTCAGTGATGCTGGAGTTGTTGAATGCCGGTGTGAAGAAGTCACCGCCACCACCGGCTTGATTCCGATCCTGCTGAGCGTGCGACGATGTCGACGACGACGGATAATCCGGAAATCCCTCGCGATCTTGCTGTTGTTGTGGATCTTGCAAGGTTAGCGGCACAAGGCTGAAGTCGTACTGCATCGGGAACATTGCCGAACCCATGAATCGTCCCGGTTGCATGAAGGGGTGAGGTTTCGAAGACAGTGCGGTGGATTCTGGTGGTTGCATTTGCTGTTGGCGGGTTATTGGCGTCGCGCCCCTTGGATCGGCCGTATTCAATCCAAACGAGCCTAACGACCCTGTTGTTCTGTCGACGGTCTCTGAGCTTCCGATCTCACCCAGTACTACCCTCAAGACGTCTGCCACTCTTTTGGCCTCGTTGCTCGTCGGGGTCAGCTCCTCACAGATCCCAAACGCGGCCTTCAAAAGTTGGAACTGCTCCGCCATCTTCTTGTCGTCCTTGGCCACCTCGAGCTCTTTCCCGGGGTTCGCTTTCTTCCACATACTCAATCCCAGACATAGGACCATGGCAGCTAAGTAGAAGTCATTCATCGTGAAGGAACTCAGCATCCAACGATCTTGAAACAATTGCCCGCCAGGTTTGAACTCTTTGTGTAGATCCAGCATGTGCCGTGTGATTGCCATGGCGGCGTCTGTGCACGCTTCTGTCGATGTGGGGTGAGTGCCTTGAGTCATGTATTTCCTGTGTAGCACGAGGAGAGATTTCTGGTAGAGGAATTCACAGTTGGTGCGCACCATGACGAGATAGCTGGGGTCGGCAAAGGATTGGGACATGGGTCGGATGTGTAGGATTTCGGGGACGGTGGCGTACACGGCGCGGACTTCGCGATCGAGGTCCATGACTTCTTGTTGCGAGCAGTCTCGAAACGAGAGTGCGTGCGAGCAGACCTTTCCGAACGTGGTCATCAGCCGGGATTTGACGATGAAGTACAGTATCTGCGTGGCTTCCGTTTCTGGCCGGGACGGCGGCAGAGCAGTGCTGTGTTCGTCGAAGTCACTGTCCAGCAGGTTGGAAGGCGGTAACGTATCCCAGCTATTTGGCGGTATCAGGTTCGGCAGTCCGAGTTGGAAGGACACCATAAGGTCGAATTGCCGACACATTGCCCACGTTCGCCGTCGCATTTCGCCCTCGAAGACGGAGAAATGAGGGAACTGAGAAGGGTCGCGGTGGTAGCCACTTCGATACGCGAGTCGTACGAGGATGGGGAAGATGATGCTGACGTCCCGCGACGGATCGAGGGTAGCCATGTACTTGCATTGGGCATACAGGCCCAGAGCTTCGACCACATGGCGTTTAGGCCGAACGAATCCGCCGAGGCGGAGACACTGGCATGCCGCGTTTAGAAAACTCATGCGTGGACTCAGTTGATCTTCCGGCGTCGAAGGCTCAGAGCCCACGGCTTCAGACAAGGTGGCGGACATGCAGCAGATGGAGAACAGGATCGAGACCCAGAGGGGTGACGTCTCCAGCGGTGTGCGCCAGAACTGCTCGTATTGCCGTCGGAATTGTGCTGTATGGATGAATGGAATGACCAGATATCGACTGTTGAAGTAGGTCGACAGGCGGCGGTCGACTTGCAGGCGCGGAGGGAGGGCTTGGGCCAGAATCTGCGAAAGCGATATATGGCTCGTCGACCCAAATAACCCGTCCATCTCCTGGGGTTCGACGTCTTCGCACTCATCGAGCTCGGTGGTTGATGGGCGGCCCCCTTGGCCATCGCTGCTACTCACCAGAGCAGATTTGAGTTCTTGGATGCTTTCTAGAATTGCGGACCAGTGCGTCGAGCCCACATAGCGCGATTCCGAGGAGCCGTACTGGAGGTGCCCTTCCTTTGCGAGGCTCGTAGTTGACACGTCGTGGTCATGCGCCGAGCTAGGGCTGGCAGCGCTCTCCGAGTCATGCGATGACTGCGCGCCCGTCGAGTTGCCAACCATTTGCATGACGAGTTGCTCCAAATGTCGGAGTCGCTCTTGGGCTTGTCCTCGTCTGTTCACGACATGACTCGTATTGGCGCCGGCGGCGATGCTGGGATCGGCCGCCTTGGGCAGGGGAATGTTGCCGTATACGCAGCTAGACTCGTCGCCTCGCCTCACGCAGGTCTCGCACGGATGGCCCTTGTCACATTTCAATTTCTTGATTCTGCAGTTAAAGCAGGACACGGGTTGTCGGTTTCGTTTGCTGACTTTGTGTACTCCTCCCGACTGCTGGCTGTCCAGACTGGCGCGGAACTTGTTGGTAAGTGCGGAGAATTCTGCCATTGCCGGCAGCCTGTTTCTGTTGATGGCGAAGCCAACCTCAATGTGCGACGGCCTTGAGTGATGGCGTTGATTGATGTGGGTGGTAGAAGTACGCGTATGAGGCCAGAGAGTGTCGCGACCTCACAGCTTCAAGCACGAATCTTGCTGCGGGCTCGACACTGCCGATTCAATCCTATGACAGAAATTCGGTAACCAGGCACTCGGAATAGGAAAAAGGTGTAGTTATTAGATGGAAGATGAGGATGAGGACGAGGATGATGAAGTGGAAGAAAGATGATATTCGCCCCCGCAGCTCGCACGGAATCCAGGCGGTTGGAGTTGGTTTGACCTTGTTACAGACGTGTGACAGTCGCTACCACCACATGCCATCTACTGTTCACATACCCATTCGCAAGGGTGTCATGGAATTAAGAACACATGGAGATCCGAATATCCTGCCGTGAGAATAGATAGCATCGCCCTCACAACTCCTTTGTGCAACCAGGCTTGAGCTCCTCATAAATGACGCTCAATTCCTCCCAGATCCTCCTCGCCGTCTGATCTCCTTCGGCACTCTTGACAAAAGGACTATACTTCTTGACCTGACACTCGCTCAAATACTGTCCATGAGTCTCTCTTCCCGCCGTAGCACCATGCACCAACGTCCGCGCTCCATGCTCGCTCGATCGCCCGATGATGCTGAGCATAACCTTGGTAGACGTTTCCGCGTGGGTCTGAAACAGATTGGTCTTGCAGAGTCCCGGCGCAACATTGTTGACGACTACCAAGGCTTTGTTATTGGGATCTTGCTCGGCTGACTTTGTCAACGTCGACGCGAGGTGTTTCACCAACAGCATGACGGAGAGTTTGCTGAGGAAATAGCGACCCTTCATATCTGCCTTTTTGGGATCCGAGAGCGTCTTGAAAATCTGTCCCTCGGCAGGAGTGGTTAGGTCCTTGTGGTTGGCCGCGAAATGGACCGCCGATCCGACGATGGCGAGGGTGGGCGTGATGTTGTATTTCTTCGCGGAGCCGCGCATGACGGGGACGAGTAGCGTAGCTAGGAGGAATGTTGAGATCACGTTCACAGTGAGAGTTGTCTCATAGCCTTCTGCAAGCGTGAACTCTTCGAGATCAACGCCTGCATTGAGAATTGCGGCATCGAGCCTCGGGAGATCCTTGCATCGCTCTGAAAAGGCTACCACGCTTGCAAAGGAGCACAGATCGAGTTCAAAGACGACAAATGTCGCCTGTGGACGTCCGCGGGAGCCGCTGGGGATTGACTGCAGAATGGTCTGCTTGGCCGTTTCCCCTTTTGTAAGGCTTCGGCATGCAAGGATGATAGTGTCGCAATTTAATTGCGCCAACAATTTGGCGGCCTCGAGACCTAGCCCGGAATTCGCTCCCGTCACCAAGATGGTCCGTCCTGTCAAATCGACCTGAGGTTTTGGCGGGGTTGAAAGTTGACCGCGAATGAATTGGCCTACTCCTGACATAGTGTTAGGCGAGCGCCCTGCTCTCTCCTTGTCGCAAGTTGTGGTATAGTAGCGCCTGGTAAACAATAAAGAATCTTCAATGGGCAAGAGACAATTAAGAATGTTGTTTACATGCAGGCTCTGGGGAGGCCTTCGTCTTGTAGGTCGCTCGGTCGAGAGAATGACTGTTGCAAAACGCTATGCACCATGGCGACAATTTATTCATTCTGACAATCTCCGAGAGTGCTTGCGGGATCTCTTTTTCTCCATTTTCAGTATATCGAGCACATCGGCTCAGAGCTGGACGCCTCGCAATTGAAATCGAGGAGATGTCTGTGCCGCCATTTGCATGGTCTTGCGAGTCTGCCGACCATTTTGGGAACATGTTAACTCCGAGTTGTGGAGCACGACACGGGCGAATTTGTTCCCAAGGCCCAGCGCTCGAGCGAGTACATATAGTTGGCATGCCGAGCTTTCAGGCAACAGGATTTCATCGGCGAAACCATATCCTGAGCCAATCTTTCCTCAAGCCACAATCTTCGCATTGGATCAAAATGGATGATTTTCAATCAGCCACACCACATCTTCATTATAATCCAGCAATGCCTGCCGTACTCTTTCCGTGTGCAACAGCGGGGCAAGGAGCGCAAAGATTCTGTCCACGTTGTCTTCAGAGATTCGAACATGCTGAAGAATGCTAACCAAAAGCGTTACGAGTGCTTCCAAAATCTGTCCATCTGAGGACCTGAATATGGCGCTGTAGGGAACAATAGAAGTTTGACGAGGCGGGGTGCTGTCTTCGTGATTGAGCTGCATCGAATTGCGCGTTGAGATAACCAATTCTGATCTTTTCATGCTTAGCATCGAAGCCGGCTTCTCCCCCTTCGTCGACATAACGACGCTCGAATATGTTTTCCTGAATAGATTTTCAAGCTCATCGAAAAGCTGTTCGATTCGACTGGCCATGAAATTGCCTGCTGCGTCACAGATAGCCGCTATTGTGACGGCTGCAGCTCTAATGATGTATGCTGCATTTGCTGCAGTTGGGTCATCCTTGGCCAAAAGTTTGGACACCACTGCCGGCCAAATAGTGTTCACCAACGGCAGAAAGGTATTCTCGTGTTTACCAAGGAGCGGGCATATCTCTTGCAGCAGACCCAACAAAGTAAATCGTACCTTGGGTGAAGGAGATGATAAGTGTGGAACCGTGGACTGTGCGATGTTGAGTAGAAGCTGATGAGACTTGGATATCTTAGCCTCCTTCTCGTTGGCTGTTTTTTCAAGAGGTTGATCATCATCCACCTCTTCGTCCTTGTCGGAGAGGCTATTCTGTTCCTCACTTGGTGGGCCGTCTTCGGTACTCGACCATGGTCGATGAGGAGCACCAGTGGCAGTGATATCTTCATCTTCTTCGTCAGATTGGCGTTGTCTTTGTTTCCTGCTCTTCAAGTCGCTGAAGATATCTTCCAATCCAGAGATATGGCTCGGCATGCTTCGGTGGCTATCAGATCTTCGTCCGGACTCAATTGCTAGAATGGCAGGCTTCCTTGCACTTTCTGTCACCGTCATCTTTAGAATTTCGAATAACTGTTCGACGAGGTTGGGATATCCATGGAAGGTGTCTAGGGCGCCGAATATGCTTCCGATCAAGTCGTCCAGGTGCGGGAGGAGGCCTGCACCGCAGAGACGGATCATCATCCCAATGACCTGGAGACTCTGTGGTGATACATCGAAGGCGTTGAGTCGGAGTGCAACAGCATTGATAAGATAGTCCACGTTCTCAACCAGCATGTGCGCTACCGAATCATATTCACATACTGTAGCCAGAATGTCCAGGGCAGTCATGGCATGCTGCTGAAGCAATGCACTACTGGAACCAAGCAGAGTTAGTAAAGGAAATAGCGTCTCCACTAGCTCAGGCCGGTATGAACGACTGAGCTGAGAAGCTTGAAGTATTAGACTCTCAAGGGACAGAGCTACAAGCCGCCAGTCTGTACTTCCTTCATCTTCGATGTCGGGATATTCCGTCAAGAATGGTAGAATATTTGAATACAGATCGGATATGAGAAAAGGACGGGAAATTGAGAAGTCAGAAGGGGAAGTATTGTCTTCAACCAGCTCCATGATATCAAACGACTCGCTGCTGTCAGATCTCAGGAATTCCAGAGCGAGCCACGCTGCTGATAATTTCCTGTTGATATCAGGATCGTGTAAATGGTCAACAAGACAGCGTGTAATATTCCGACTGAAAGTGTGCGGCTTGAGGGACATAATCAAGCTTTTCAGCTCCCCGGTGGACGATTGCTGGCTCTGATGGCTCAAGATAACCGGCATAAATCCTTGTTCCGATCGCCTAGACTGTTGAACAAGCTCGTTCGGAGGGATACGTGGCGCCTCGCTGACCAGCTTCGACGTTTTCGAACCGGATTCAACAGCTGCCGCGACAGTATCAACTAATATCGAAGCAAACTTCGACATTTCTTCATTGGTGGTATTTGACGTGTCTGTTAATGCAATGAATGATGTGGCCACCTGCTTGAGCAACTGCTGTTTGGGCCTGTCGTCATTACCTTGCATCACTCTGGGCAGGGCCTGACACCAATCATAGAATTTGGTGCCCAAAATCTCTGTCAACTCTGGCTTCGATGTCATCAAGAATTTGAGAGCCGCGTTCGCTTTTGATCCATTGGGCGAGCGGCAAAGGACCGCAAGAGTCTCCACCATCAGTGGTATAGACTGGGTAAGAGTTTGCGAACAGTCATCGATGACTGTCAGACAAAGGTTGAGAAGAGCTTCGGCCACATCAGGGCTTTCATGATTCCTGAGTTTGACCACCTGGACCAGAGCCAGATCAATTTGAGATGCAGTAGCATCGAACCAGGACTTGTCCAGTATAACCTCATCATCAGCGCTCAGTGCTTTGGTAGATTTGGTCCGCCTCTTGTAGCCAAGTTCAGTCGAGACAACCTCGTCCGCAAGAACGTTTCTTAAGGTCTCAGTCAGAAGCTCTAGGTAGCTGACAAGGACCTTTCTCGTTCGCCGGGCCTGAGTACTTGGTCGAAGAACTTTGACCAACGTAGAGACGGTACGGGGAAGCAAACTGGCCAATAATGCTCGATTCCGAATAGCGCGCTGAAGCTCGAGAAGAGCATGGGTTGCACTGATCTGGACATCCTCAGACGATGCATTCGCAATCGCCTCGAGTAGCTGATAGGCTAGTTGATCCACAATATTCTTGCTGCCTACGCCTTCCAGGATTGGGGATGCTAGTGAAGCACTTTGCCGGATGATGACAGCCATACATTCGAACGAAGCAACTTTCAGTTCCCCTGTAGGGGGCTGACTCTGTTGGTTGGGACTTTGAGAGACCAATAAGCCCATGAGAATGAGCAGCTGCTTGGCCATCTCGGGAAGAAGCTTGTCTCGCCATCCTTTTGACACCAGGATTTGCACGCATCTGACGGCTATCTCGAGGCCTCGGGATGATATTCGAGGAGATTGATTGAAAACGTGAGTGAGCGGGAAGAAAGCATATTCGGCCAATTTCTCATCGAGAAGATTCTCATCCCCAAGCGAGCGAAGCACATGGTGTACCTGCTCGACAGCGAAAAGCACGGCCTTCGCAGACGTTTGATTGGCCTTGAGTTTCAGAGCGACAGAGCTGAGTTCCACACAAGGCGGACGCAGCTAAATGGCTCGTCAGTCACGGAAATTTGGGAACAGGGTGTGGTGGAGGAATGTACCCGTTGAAAGACCTGCTGACGTGAAGAATCCATGGTAGGGTATCGGCAACAAGCAAGAATGTCATGCTGATTATAGGAAGTCGTCAGTCATAGAGCGCATCGTTTTTCAGATGAAGATGGTAGGTAGAGCACTGAACTCGTGTGAAAGCATGATAACTGCACAGCCACCGCGCCTTTACCAGAGATGTGGCGCGTCTTGGCGTCTTGGCATATATGGGTGGCTCCATAGGGGGCATAGGGGGGCAATAGCCTCGCCAATCTCGCCTACAAGTCGGGTTATATTGGTGGATGGAAAGGATATCAAGGATAAGGCTGATTACTACCCTGCTTGCTGCCTCTACAGTCATGTACACTTATATAGTCTGGTCAATCCATTAATCTGTATAGCTAGATGTGCAGGGATGTCAGATCAGACTCTGTATCTCGTTGGGCTCGTTACAAGACTCTGTCTTGAGTCGTGAAAGATGAAATCACTTCGTTATGAAAATCCCCGGCCTAATGCAAGCAGGTGCATTTAACTGGATGCTAGCGCCGCCTCCTGTCAAGTGGCCAGTGTCTCAGTCGGAAGAAGAACCCCAGACTACTTTATTGCCCCCTAGAGATCTGGTTAGAAGAGAGTGGATGGTAGACTTATACCCAAGTCGGGAACAAACCTAACCCTTGTTCCACGTCGTTCAGTCTCGTGCTACTACGACGCCTGAGATTTTTGATTTGGAAAAGATTGCCGGCCGCCCTTGAAGCCTCCGCGACGTGGCCAGGGAGAATGTTCTGCCTAGGCCAAACAATTCGGAAACCCCGCTTGATGAGTTGTAGGCTCTTCACAAATATGAGGGTGGCGACCAGGAACACCGCCAAAGCCCACATAAATGTTCCCCAGCCAGCGGAGTCTGGGACTATGCCATGTCCCATACTGAAGACACCCTGCCAAATGTTAGAGAGGATTTGCGTTTGCGATGCATACCGAAGTCCCTACTGCTACGAAGCCGAGAGGAAGATATGTAATTGTGACCCAAGTGAGCATGCTGATGTTTTCGTTCTGCTCCACACCGCGAACAGAGGAGATCTGCCAGTATCGGTCAGCAAGGTAAAAGAGAGCGAAAGATATACCTCACCCCTTCGCGAAGCTTTGCAACTTGGTCAATACGCTGTTTGATGACATTGTGCAGGTTCTCGAGCCTTTTGCGTCTCTTCTCAAAGTCTTCAACCACCCGCTCGACATTCCGCTTCATGTCTTTGTGACGGATATCGCGGCCCTTTCCGCGATCAGTTCATCCGCCTTGCACCAGAAGGGTGTGACTTACTCTTTTCAATTCAGAGTCCATCTTTTCTTTTGCTTGGTTGATCTCATCAAGTGCCCTTTCAAGTTTTTCGTCGAAAATTCGGAGCGCTTCGAATCCCCAAAGCATTTGCTTGAGTTTCTTCAAGGCAGCGTCTGACTTTCTCCACTCGAGGCCTTTCAACAACACTAACGGCTGGGGGAAGTTAGCTTCGGAAAAACCGTGGCATCGATGGATTACCAACATTCATGCCCATGATATGGTCCATCTGATCTGCAAATTTGTCGCATTCCTTCGAGAGGGACTCGCACATATGGCCCAGAAGTAGCAGAAATGCCAACACCCTCCCAGTGTATTGTTGGTGGATGAACATCTGCAATATATCCTTGATCTCGTTGCTGTATTCTTTGACCTCTGCCTCGTCAAACAATTCAGATATTACTGAGCATATCCAGAAACGCCCCATTCTGTCACCTGAGATGACAAGCGAGATCGACAGCTCACGAATTGTTGACAACCGATTATCGACTATATTCCTTTGGTCAGAAACGCTTTTGGGAGGGAATGTGGTGATGCGAGCCACGGGAGCCACTTCATTGGCGCTCTTGTTGGCCGCGCCTCGCGTTCCGAATGCGGGAAATGGATCCCAAAATCTCATCCTCGTCATCCAGCTTTGTTTCGCAGATTCATCGCGATCGTAATTGAGTCTTCTTTTTTTCTCGTTGTGTTCGAAATCGTCTTCCACGTCGCAAATCTTGCTCTCCAGATCATCCTGCAGGCGCCAAAGTGAAATTGTAACGGATGTGGTCCACATTACGCCCTCTCCGGTTGGTAGCTGATTCTCTGTGTTGACGAAATGAGAGAGCACACCTAGGTTGTCGTCAATAGCGTCAAGAGCATCGGTGTGCCACATGAAGATCATGGCTAGAATGATTTCTGGACAAATTCGTCTTACGAACCTGGTATTTTTGTCAGCGATGTCGGTCTGAACGATATGCATGGAGACTTGCAGTAGTCGGTATTTCGTTCCTAAGTCGACCAACTCAGGGCCACAGTTAGTGATAAGACTAGAGACCTGTGGAACTGGCTTACGCTGTCATTCAATACCTCAAAGACTTCTTTCTGATAGCTTTCGAGCCACTTCTTCCTGATGCAACTCCGTTCAAGGAATTGTCTGAAAGGTTTTGGGAATGTATCATAGCCTGGGTACAGCTTGTGCTGGCCTAGGAAGTAAAGGGTCAAAAGAGCAGATTCTTCCTGTTTGTTCATTTTGTCCTTCTGATCTTTTTTTGCCTCTTCACCTAGCCCAACCCAGGGTTTCTCATCGACCAGGTTCGCTCTTCCGATGCCAGCGGTTACTCCAATTTCAGGGGCGTCTCCGCCGTCAGCCTTGAGGGTGAAATCAAAGCAACTGAGGTGCCGGAGCTTCTGCGGTGGGATGATTTGCTTCATATTATCCAAAGTCCATAGGTGATGGACTGCCATGCCACTTTTCTCAAAAAAGCGCTCCAGCATCTCTTTAGAAATTGGCATGCTGATTTTGTCGAAAAATTTTTGGAGCGCAGCAGGATGGATGGATGGCATGGTTTCTCCGAAGAACTGTGTCATGTCTCCAGAACAGATATCCACTCCCTGACGTTGGAAGTACTTCTCGACCATTCCAAAATCGAGGTTGATGGCACTATCTTTAAAGTATTTTCCGATATGCGTTCGAACGGTGACGCTTTTCTGTTTCTGATCATACACCTGGGGGGTATCCTCTAAGGATTGGACAGCAGCATCAGCGTGATACAGCAGGCTCGGGCGCCTCTTCCTCCAGGAGTAGCCTACTATATCTTCGGCTGGAGGAAGTCTTTGACGAATGCATTCGGTAAGTGTCTGAATGGTTTCCTCAATCTTTGAAGGCTTGTCGGCAATCTTACGCTCGGCCTTGGCGAGTTGGCTAAAGGTGGCTTTTGCTGCATTATTTTCGGACATGAGTCCATCCAAGATCTTCCAAGATATGATACTGGACGTTTTCATATCCCACCACTGGGCCACAGTCTCGGGGTTACTCGCGTCGAAGTCCGCTGCGAATGTATAATCGGATAGCAAGAATTCCTTGCATGCCTCCATACATTCCTCAACAGAAGGTGCTACGTCAAGGTTCACTGGGACATGATGTTCGAGACAATTGGATTCCCAAGGTGCGGGTCGGGGCATTGATGATCGGATAGCGTGATTGTGAATTGCGTCCCATCGTCTGACCAAGGCTTTCCCAGGATTGAGTTCTTTCGTCTCCTGTCGACGTTTTATCAAATCTTGGGCATATTGGAGGCAGGATTCCCCTTGCAAGCCAAGAGCGCGCCTTTCGATCTGTATCTCTTTGCCCACGAGGGCAAGATTTGCCACGTCATGACTAAGGTGTTGATTGATCAGGCGGCCCTGTCCAAATAGCCGCAATGCCCTTTCGGCCCTGACTTGCCAGTGTTCAGCCCAGTCCTTATGCTTGGAACAGTCAACGCGAGAAGTAGAAGCACGATTGGTGGGATTCTCCTGTAATTTCTGAATGATTTTGTTGACCGAATGGCTGTGGTACCATCGAAGGAAACAGATGTGCGGATTCTCAAAACCTTCAGTACCAACCTGATTGTCGTTGTTTCCAATAGCGTCCAAGAAAGGTAGACTGTCCAGGACCATTGACCGTATATCTTCTCGCTCAAATATCTCGGAGCATTGAGCCCACATGTACCAGACGATCAATGCGCAGTACCATTGTTGGCTCTTTACCCGTGGCTCTTGACGAAGACGTTCAACCTTTCTGCTCTCGTCTTTTGTCATTAGCGCTTGCCATTGCTCTGAGGTAAGCTTGCAATTTCGACTGGACCGTGGAGCCGTGAGGATATCACAAGCCAGAATTCCTATCCACGGCTGTTGAAGGTTCGATCTGGAGATAACAGGCACAACGCTAAGAACCCATGAACAGACGCCTCGTAAATGCTCCAATAGGAAAGTTTGATAACCTAAGCGCATCTCCTCACAGGTTGGGTTTCGCTCGACGATTTCCTTTTGTTCTGTATTCAAACGCACAAATTGAGTGGCTTTTATGAGCACGCGTACCTGCCAGCTACTATTATCAGCATACTGATGTGAAGTGGCTTGTGGCATACGAAATAGGCATTGCTTACAAGAGACTTTCGAGGTCGACTACTTGCCGTGTGACAATATTTCCGATAAGAGCGATGTTGGTTTTGATTATCGAGCTCTCGCTCCGCTTCCGGACAAGATGAGAAAGCCCACTTCGAGAGCCAGGCAGTCGTAGCGTTGAATCCGTCCGACTGTCATTTGGAAAACTTGGATCAACTGAGGATACCTGGACAGGGGACAAATCTGCCGCTTTTGTTCCATCCCGCTTGTTTGAGACGGTGACCTCGTTCTGCATGGGAACGGACGATAGTCCTATAATGTTCTCCACTGTTCTGCCGATGACGTTGAGATCGAAAGCTCGAGGGCTTGGTGGCTGGTGTAGCATTTGTGACCAGAGTCGGTATGGGGCGTTCATTGAGTCTTTGGAATATCCGAGATAATCGCGGATGTCAGCAGATTTTATCACGTCCATTGGTTGAAAGTAAAGCGGTATCTTGCTGTCCACAAGGGAAAAGGAAGCAACGGCCGAAATGGGCTCAGTCCTAGTCCATTCAACATTGGTGACGGTATGAAGTCTCCACACTGCTGTAGCACCTCCTTTCTCATTGCTCTCTCCAAGTTGCTGTATCCTGGAGGGATTCGACAAATCGTGAGTCAACTCTGTGGGCTGTCCATTAACCCAGAGTCTCATTTCAAGCCTTCGTTGGTGACAAGCACTCTCACAAGCCATGACATAGCTCTTGACTCCCCTTGGGGGCTTACAAGGCGAGTAATTGTCGTAGAATGTCGCAGTTCGACCTGCAAATGTCGAAGCATCCCTGTCTTCGCAACAACATCCAATGTGGACGGTACCGCCAAGATCAAGGTCTAACCCCCTGTTTATTGCAGATTCTGGGATGGATCCATTACTCAGGGCAGACTCAGAGGTGGAAAAGGACTGAGGGGCCACCCGGAGGATTTGGTAAAGAGTTTTGTCCTTGATGAAAGAGCAAGCCGTAAAAGTTGCGAATACCACCGAGCCAAGTGAATCGACCCTTTTCACGAAGTTGAACCTCGTGTATGGCCACCTCAGGTTAACCATTCCTTGAGCAGGCGTGCGCTCGAGAACATATTCGGCCTCCTCTGGGATGAGCAGTTCTAATCCGAAAGTACCCTTTTGATTGCGTCTTTGCGCTCGGGCCAAGATTGCTTCCCCATTATCCGGAAAGTCACCACGAACGAATACAACGCCACATTGTTCGTCGGGAACTGTAAGCTGCAGAAGTTCGTGCCATACGGACAGGGACCCCGTAAAACCATCTCTACCGAAGTCTAAGGACTTGGACGGACGTAAGTAGTCAAACTCCATGAAGCAGCTCTCTACAGTCCATTAACCCTTGGAAGGACCATGTAGTAAGGTAATAACTCACCGCCGTCAACAGTGTCTAGCCATGCAAAGTCAACGTCGAGCCTATTCGAGATGATCAACTATTGTTTTCCAGACAATCTCATTTAGGACCCACTCATTCTCGGACGCCGAAGCACGGGCTGTTAGAATCTCTTGCTTGCTGCGACTCGACATAGCGGATACTTAGAAATTGCAGAAGAGAACGCATCGCAGCATCGGAATGTGAGGCAGCTTGGGCAGCTCAAACTCATCTTTCTTGTAGTAGATGACTTGGTGGCCTGATGATCCATCCGTGTGCTGCGCTGTTGATTAGCACCAGATTGATGCATGATCCTGCCCGTTCGAGCGAGCCCAAGAGTTCGTGGCTGCTCTTCCTGTGCAGAAGGAGTCGCCCACACGAACAAGGCCATCAGGATATGGGGAAGCTCCGCCAATGAGACATGGGGAGAATGCGTCTCGTATCCGGGGTTTGAGGCCCATATCATGATGACAAAATGCAAACGTTTCATGATTTAAAGCCTGACAGATCTGGGCAGCTAGATTCATCCATGTGCGCTTCAAGCGCTTTTACTTGTATGCCAAGGTCATGGACTCTCCGTTGATCCCCGAATGCGAGCTTCCAAGAAGCATTTTCCAAGGAGATGGGACAGTCAAGTTCGAGTTCAGATGCGCGCGTGGAGTGATTCCGCTTCGGTTTCCGTCTTGGCGAGTCGGGAATTCACACCACTGAAAGGTTGGGGATTTTTGTCTAGTCGGCCTTTGTCAAAGAAGAGCGGGCACTACGGGCCGGGGGCTCCAAGTAGACTCTACTTGGTACTTATATCGAGAGGGCGGGTGTACAAGCAAGCAACTGATGTTGTTGGTGGCACCGGGTGGTGCCGCGGGTGAGAGAGATCTGGTGGAAACTCTCGCTCCTAATGACTATTACTTGGTATTATCGACATCGTTGACGTTATTGCTTTAACCCAATACGGTATCGTCTTACCCATGAAGTCTCCCATACTAATGACCACCGATCTCTTAAATTTCAGCTCAAAAAAAATGAAACAACGAAACAATAAAAAAAGAAAATAAAGTAAAACAATTGTCCTTCTGCCGTGACATTACACCTATATTACTGATGTGACTCTGTTGAATGTCTGCACTCCAAAGGGAACTAGCTGGGTGGTTTCCGTTGCTCAGCTGTGTTGTACTATGTATGCAAGACAAAGTGCGGAAGCGTATTATTTTCTATCGAATCTAGAAGGCCGGATCTAGCTAGCTACTTGAAAGTTGAAACGTGCCCTGTCGCTACAAACTTAAACGACCTTTTGATTCCCCCCCTAATTCTGACATTTTGTTTGTTGAATTGACCCTAAGTTTTCGGATTGCCATGCCCGCGCCCGGAAAGGGAAAAGGGAAAGAGGTTCATGATCACCAAGGCCTTGAGGCATTGAACTGACGAGGCATAGGTCAATAGAACCATTGCGTTACCGATTCCGCACATAGGAGGACCTCGCAGAGTTCTTTAGAAGAAACCACAACGCACTCGTTGAGCGGAGACTGAGGCACCGAATGTGACAAATGTTTAGGGACGGAATCTGCGACTGGATGCACCAAGCGACCGCCCGGAACACACTCAGCCTCGGGACTTCGGAACTCCTGTGGTGGAAAAGTTAATCGACGTGGATGAACAAAATTGCTCAAGGACCGTACCAGATCTGCCGTCTCCATGACTGCAGCAGGCACCGCGTGGGTGTCAGAATTGAATATGCAGTTTTTGGCGTCGCTTACTCACAAAAGTTGAGTAGGGATGCGTGTTCAATTCAGGCACAACCTGGGTAGAAATTTCAGTCTCCAGGTCTTCAAAGTCGTCCTCTTTGAAGTATGCCAACTGCCGAGGCGACCATAGTCGACATCCAAAGCCACAACTCGACAAATCCTCCCACAACCCGCACGGATGTACCTCGTAATTACCTGCAAGATCTCCCAAATCCTTGCACTTTTCCTCGTAGCCATGTTGTTGGGTGTGCAAGCTCGAAAACTACGCCGGGACAGATAGTGTTTTGGGGAGCTTCGCGATAGACATATTTAACACGGGACCAGTCGAAGTTTTTGATGCGCTCGAAGAATTTTTCGACATCGGAATCTCCCTTGCATAGTTCTCTCAGTCGAAACGAGACCGAACCCGCGAGCTGTTTGACGAGACCTTCATGTAGCCGAGAGCGACCCTGGGGAAGGAGAAAGATCTGAGTCCGAGGGAACCATTCGTATCTGTAGTTCAATGTTCGCGTTGTTGACTTTGCTAGAAATGACTTGTACACTCGAGTTCCTTCTCCTAGGAGCGATTACCACGAAAATGTTTGTTTGAGATCGCTGGGCTCAACCGACCCCAGCGAAATTCGGGGCCCATCTTTATCACATGAAGATTGGTTCCTCGCGCCATCTTCTATCTCGCGAATAAGAAAGCATAGTGCAGAAGCCTTCGGAGAGAAGTCAAGAAGTCGATCCGCCGCGGTCTCCGCCTTTATGTCGTCACCGAGAAATCCTGTTCTCTTCGTCGGCACGGATGTTATGACCTGAAAGCGGCATTAGGCATTCTACGTAAGTAGATATATCGAGAGATAATTCAGATCTTTACCTTGACGATGTGGAGGGCTCCATCTTTATCTAAGCGAACAAACGATGATGCTGGAGCACCGCAAACGATGAGTATATGGGTCAAACGCCACATGACGAGTCACGTGATGTCCATTTTCGACCATTATGCCATTGAACTCATCACACCTATGACACTTGAAATACCTATGGCGGACGGACAATATACAGAGCTGGGGTGACCGCGAAGCAAACCATTCGACTACACGTCCTGCGCGTCGACGCGCATCGTGTGTCATGCGGGGTTCAAGTGCGGGGAGCATCTACAGTCTACGGCGGAGCAGACTATCAATGGTGGTCCTAGATGGCCTGTAGGATTTACCACGAATTTGTTGCCTCGTACCCAGTATGTGAGATGTTAATGTGGAAGGGACAAAGATCTCCGGTTCCGCTGCACACCTTTGACCACTCCTGAATAAAGAATTTCCCCAGACTCAAAGCCCAATTGGAATCTCTTGCAAGGGCGGAAGCGATGCCCGTTCGAAGCTGCATATCCACCGCTCCACTAGCAGCGGCTACCATCTTCGTTTTGCTTTCTTGATAAGCTATTGAGTCTCTGAAAAAATAATCAAGTATTACCCTATTCGCTCGAGATGGGAAAGATTTCTGATAGCTAGGTCAGGTACATGGCACGGAGGGGAAGGATGCTGGCTGTCTTGGAGAACATCCCTGCAAATGGCGAGGCGGAAAAGCCCTTTGGGCATCGGCACGGACAGTATTGGCTAGATCCAACTCCATACAGGTACTTAAACGATGTGCGGACTGCCAAGACCCATCGTCGCCCACTAGATGCTGGAGGACGTCACAGTCCGAGGCCAACAGAAGGCGATATTCAACACTAGTGTGTTCAGAGGCCTTTTTTTTTTTTTAAAGCTTCAGTGGTAATGCTTCGCAAGTCGAGAAGTGTCAGGAGAAGTCTTCTACGTACAAGTTTGACACGCAGGAGTGTACAACCGGCATTGGACAGTGATGCAGCATAAAATCAATTTCCATCCTTGAGTGGCTTCAAGGTTTGTCGCACGGGCCTGCGGCTTGCCGGGCTTGCCGGGCTCGTCGGGCCTTTTTGCTTCATGCTTGCCCTGCGTACGCGCCAGTGAATAGCGGTCACGATTGACCCGTCTTCTCTCCTCAAGTGAATGCATACAAATAAAGAAGTTTTGGCGGTCTTCTGGATCAGCTGTTTGACTTCCAGTTCTACTTTAATCATGGTGTGATGGCGATTCTCAGGACCGAAGCCACCAAGTGACTACGCTGGTGAGGCGACGCACTACACAGGCACGGGTGCGGAGATGCGAGCTAGTAGCCTGCTAGCCATCCTGTTGTCGTCACTGCGGAGCTGGGACACTCGGACCAATTTCCATTTCTCTGGGTGACTGCAGTCGACGGTTGTGGTGACATCGCAGACCTCTCCAAACGCGCCAGGAACAGGTTCACAAGGAGGCAGCGACGGTCGTACATGCTGGGGAGAATAATGTTGCGAGGTTCGTGTACCGTAGAGAGGAGAAGTCGATGATTGAGCACAGCATCATGACCGGAGTCGATACTTTACGACCCGAAGCAGGATTTTGGTGCTTGTGGGTGCTAGTGGGGGTCGAGATCTCTGCAGGCCGGAGTTCAGCTCGGATCGAACGGGGCTAGGGAGCTTTGGGCATAGAGGCACCGATCGCCACACTTATAACAGGCCCAGCGCCAGAGTTCCAGGTTGTGCCCGAGGAGCATTGGGCGGAACTGGGGAGAACGACTCGGCAGAGGAAGCCCGCAACAACCCAGCAGGGATAACCAGCTTGCCCGCTGTGGCTGAACCAGTGGCGGTCTAGTGGTTGAGTGGTTGAGTGGTCGAGTGGCCAAAGTGGTCTGCGACGAGATCGAGGTTCGGGGTGTTACAGTGGCTGCGGTTAAGGTTCAGCCTGCGCAACCAGAGGCACAAGAAGCTGCGTCGAAAGCGGACGTCTATTACCTACCCAAGTACGTCTGCATCTGCACGGACGAGCTGGCTAGGTCCCAGTTGGTCCCAGCTGGTCCCAGCTAGGAATTGTGACCAGCTTCCCAGCTTCATAGCTCTACCAGGAGCAACCTAATCACCAACCTCCCACTTCCTCTTCAATCCCGAGTCCCCAGCACAGGATTAATTCTGCGAAACTTGGTCCAGCTTCAGCCTGTCCTTCATCCCACTTCCTGACTGTATCTCGTACTCGAGACCTGGCTAGCTCCTGCAGAGCGGCGGTCCCTGTCACTCGTCACTGCCAACAGTCTCACTCCACTTCCGTCACTACTCCAACTGACCTTTCACTCGACCTTCACTTCCCGCCTCAAAAAGCTTCCCACTTCCACCTTCCAGCTCCGAACTCAAAACGACACTTCTCAATTCGCTCTGTGCCTTACCGTTCCCCTTTCCTCTCTCTACCATCTCTTCCTTGGACCTCGTCCTCTCTCTCAGCCCCCCAACGACTTACTCTCGACGTCGTCACGTATCGTGCATCCTCTTACTGATTGCACCCTTTACGTCGCCTAACTCTCAATTTCATCCACGGGTCAAGATACCCTCGTCTTCAAACATGAGGAGCTTCGCCATCGCCGCTGCTCTTGTCAGCGCGGCGCTCGCCCAGACACTCTCCAGCCTGCCACAATGCGGTGTAAGCATCTGGCCCCCCTCAAGCCGGTCCTCAGAACAGCGACTGACCTATGCTCCAGCAAGTCTGTTTCGGTAACATGCTCGCCCAAGCTGCTAACCTCGGCTGCCCCGATGTCAACGGATCGCCCGATGTCCTCTGTCTCTGCAGGAACGCCGATTTCAGCTATGGCCTCCATGATTGCTCCTCTGAAGCCTGCCCGGTGGGTACCGACATCTCACCGATTCTTACGTACGGGCAGAATTACTGCAGCTCGGGTGAGTGAATATGGACATCCTGCCCGGGTTTGGACAATGTACTGATGGTCGCTAGCTGCCGCTTCCGCATCTAGCGCCGGTAGCTCTGTTGGGTCTCTCTCGGGAACCTCTGCCTTGACTGTCGGTGGTGCGACCGCGACTGGCGCTAGTGGTGCGACTGCTACTGGCACTGGTACTCCTGCTGGAAGTGCTTCTGGCTCTGGTGCCTCGGGCACTGGCTCTGGTGCTGGCTCTGGTGCTTCTTCCACTCCAATTTCTACCGAGACGCTCTTTTCGACTCTTACTTCCGATGGCAGCGTTATCACCACCGCTCTTGGCACATCCACCATCTTTAGTGCAGTTGGTGCAGGTACGGGTGGCAGTGGTGGTGGCTCTTCGACTCCCATCTCGACTGAGACTCTGTTCTCCACGGGCACAAACAGTGCAGGCAGCACATTCACCACAGCCGTGGGCACATCCACCATCTTTAGCGCAGTTGGAGCTGGGGTCAGTAACATCGTCCCGTGAAAAATGTGTACCTGCTTCGCTAACGGATTGTAGTCCTCTGCTTCAAGTCGTGCGTCATCGGCTGCCTCTGGCGCAAGCGCTTCGGCCTCGTCTCTTTCGGCATCCCTTTCGTCCCAAATCTCATCAGCCTCCTCTGCCGCCTCTAGTGCTGCTTCGTCCGCCGAAGCTTCTGCTTCCTCGTTGGCCAGCTCAGCGTCTTCGCATCTGGCCAGTGCGACCAGCTCAGCCGCCTCAGGAGCTTCCTCTGCTGCAACATCGGCAGAATCTAGTGCGACAGGTGCGGCTATGCCAAGGGCAACAGTGGCGGTCAACGGTCTGGCTGGCATCGCAGGTCTTGCTGCTCTCATGATGCTGTGAATGAATCACACTTGAGCCACATTGGGCCGAGTAGGAGGGTTGACGAAATTTCCAATTTGTTTCCACATCCCTGTTGATACCCACATTCGAATAGCACGACTTGCATCATGGTTCCACAAGGCAGGGAAAAGGACAATCGACGGACAGAAACTCGGCGCGATTGGCTTGTTCATGGTCGCTGCAGCGCGCCTATTGATCCGTTAACGGATTTTACGGACCATCAAACGGTACCTTTTAGCACAAGCATGAAGATTCTGCTGCTGTAATAGGCCCGAAAGAACGGGCTGATAGCTAATACCCGACGCATTCAACACGAAACAGAGAGAGCTTTTCAGAAGTGGGTGTGTTGTGGTATTTAAGCTTAGTTTGGCGCTTCGCTGGTACAGTATTATCCGTGTGGTGACTCAGCCTCCCTTGCCCAGCCGACATATCCGAGCGGCCTTGCGGACAAGAGATAGCAAGGCTTGACTATGTACCGTTGCTGCATGTCGCGCTGGCTTGTGTTAAACCACCATGTCACAGCGACGGAAAGATTGTTGATTACCAACTCCCAGGGTTTTCCCTTCCTGAGGGGCTCTTGTATTGCTTGATGACAGGGTATCTGATTAATCACTACATTCGCATTAACTCAAAGCAATGCCATCCAATGCAATTCCAGTGCAATTCAGAGAGAACCAGCAGCAACCGGCAGCACAAATCATTCATTCCCAGTCCTCCTCGTCGCTCTCCTCGACCTTGGTGGGCGATCGGCCGAGGTCGTCTTTGGGGCTTCCCGGAGCACGGCTGTTGGCGCCGCTGACGAGATCGTAGCTTGCGTCGCTGTCTGCGACGGACTTCTCGTCGTGAGATCGACGGCCTTGGCCTTCGGGCTTCAGGTGCGGACAACTTGGGTCGGCCGAGGTCACCGCCGATGATGAGGGTGGCTGCTGGTGTATTGTGGTTGAGGAGTCGTTGGTGTTTTGAGCGACTAGCACTTTGGGCACTGCTTCTTCGTTCCGTAGCTGAGGGGTATTAGACGAGGTCCTCCCCTGCTCCTCGTCGTCCTCGCTGTCCTCGTCCCAGCCAACCTCCTCTGTTTCATGCGCAGATGCTGTAATAGATTGATCCGTTAGCAGAGAAGACTTCTCGCTGGAGAGCAATGAATGTCGCCCGGCCTCGAGAGTCATACCTTTGAGAAGTTCTTTCCTCTTTTCTTCTTGCGTCTCCACGACATGTCGCAGGAAATAGTACCTTGTCCAGAAGTCCTTGTATTCCACTTTCTCCGGCACAAGCTTCTCCATGGAGCTTCTCAACTCCCTATACTTGTCCAGGTCTTCGGCAATGCGTGCCGTCATCCTGTCGATATCAAAGCCCTTTCTGAAGTTGTCCCACTGATCACCCGCTCCACTTGGATCTTGAGTGAAGCTCGTCATTGTAGTGTGGATGACATGTAGCTGCGCGTCAAATCTGCTTGTATGGATGACTCTTTTGCCGGACGCAGGGTCTCTACTTTCGAAGAGCACCTCGCCAGCCTGGCGGTTTCCGGCCTCTTGGTCGTCCGGGGCTGTCACAGACACCGCATCTCGAAGGAAATTTCTGATATTGGTGCCGAACCTCAAGAGCGCCTCATCTGCAGCATCTTCTGCTCTCTGCACATCTCTCAACCTCTTTGCGGCCTCGGCTTTGAACCGCTCGAGGAAGGTCTCAGTCTCCTGGATTGCTTTGTTCTGCTCACTCTCCTTGTTGGTGCTAGGCGATTCTGTGTCCTCGTCTGTTTCTGAGGCATCCCCCCCCTTCTTCTGGTCGGCGCCGAAACCCAACCCCTTGACACCCTTCAGCCGCAAGGCTTCCATGTCGCTTGCCATTTCAGCAGCCTCCTTTTTGGCCTCCTCGTATAGACTTTCTCCTTGCTTTCTGACATTCCCCCAGAAGCCCCCTAGCTTGACTCCCCATTGTGAATTAGAAAATGCCTTGAAGGTCTCCTGGAACTCTGCTTGGAGACTCTGTCTAGGGGAGCTTGTTTTTGGTGTGGAGGTTTCGTTCGTGTTTGAGGTGTTATTCGTTGCAGGCGTAGGAGTAGTGGCACGGTCGCCGGGATTGTAAGCTTGCTCAGCAATATGATCGTATGCGAGATCCATGGTGGTGGGGAGTAATGGGAGTCAATGGGAGGATGTGGAGAGGGGCAAAACAGAGGCGCGGATCAACGAGGTTGCCCTGTTGCGAGGAAACGACCGTAGTTAGCGACAGTAAATTTAGGAAAAAGGGTTGGCTTGAGCTGTTGTACCAGGCGTCGTGGTTGACGAGATACGAGGCTTCAACATGCATGCGAGGTTGAAGGATGATCAGGGGATTCGACAATGAACCCAGGAAACCACGTGCTATGAAGGGGGATGATTAATCTGTCTGACGGGGCGTGGACAGAGAAACTGCACCAATTTCTGAGGAACTGGTTCTGTCAGACGTGCCAAATTTTTTCGAAACATCACCCCTCCACCATTCCCCTCTCCTTTGCCCCAGACACAGAATACATATTTGATCATGCCTCAGCAAGCTCATCGATAGGGGCTTTTGCTTGTGAAAAGTAAGTCTCTTCCCGGTTTGTCTAGTCTGTATTGCCACTGGCATCCCCAATACGATATACGGAAGGGCACAAGGTCGCATCCTCGACTCATCAGTCATCTAAAACCTTCTCGCAGATTTTATCCTGGCGCCTGATGGACTGCAGCATGAACTAAACCACTCTAATCATGGCAACGGACTACTTTTGGCCATCCACAGTGAGAGAGACCCATAAGAGGTTCCATCTGATACTGATCGACGAACAATTTGCGTTGCCCACGTTGCCTCATCAGCGCGCTAACCCGACCTGGTCACCATTTCGATCTCGGTTCGCGTATAGACGGATTCAATATGCGTGGACTGATGCCAACGCGTAAGGCGAGGGCAGTCTAGAGAAATATCCATATCACAGTTGTCATGTTCTGCGTCCCTGGTTGTCTATGCTCAGTTGCTTTCATATATATATATTTAGGTAGGATTTCTGCCTCCGCCTCAAAAGATGTCTGGTGCACCTCCTTCCCAACTCTTCCGCAAATACTTCAATCCACACTTGTCAAATAAGGATCGGATCTTTATCCCAGCTCCTCAACCGATTTCCATTGGAAAGCATGAATCGCCAGCAACGAAATGGGCCCCTAACTCGAGTGACTAAAGGACTTGGAGGTCTTATAGGCCTCGCGGCCGAGGCGCATACTCAACACAAGAACAGAGAGACAAGCACACTTGCAAAACGACTTGATGCCCCTGGCACGAACGCCAGCCCGGCAATTGGCACAGGAGACGGTGTTCGACATGAATCCCCGGAAATCGACGAGCAAGAGTCTTCTTCCAACGAAGAGGAGGATGCTTTCGCTATCGACTCTCTCCTCCCACCGTCGTACGACGAAGTAATCTCTCCCCAGTCCTCTAACGCAACTCCCTTCACAACGGTAAAGCCCCTCCCGTATCCCATAATCCTCCCTCAACGCCGTCCCCACCACTCCTCTCGAGGCTTCGTTCGAGCGTACGCACCCATACTCCAAACCCACAAAAACATCTCCCAGACCACCTTTCTCCAATTCCTCAAGAATTTCCAGCAGTCTTCACGCCCCTCTCCCGTGTTCCACGCAATCAACATCGGCGCTATGGCTGCAGGGTTTGCACCCAGCGCGATTGCTATCGCCGTGAGTATCAGTGTACAAGTTGGCGTGAGGCATGCCATGGCCGCCCAGGGGAGGCTGAGAACAAACACTTTCTTGGACAAGGCGAACAGGGAGATGTTTTGGCCCGTCGGACTGCATGCAATGATTACAACCTTTGCACCAGGTCAATCTGACCAGAGAGTTCTGGACGTCGATTCCGGATGCCCACTGCCCTCTTCACACGGAACAAACCGACATGGACTCGCAATCCCTCAATCCGCGCCACTGATCTTCCCCAGTATCGACCAAGAAGCAGATGGCGACGGCCAGCCTTCGCCGTCTTGGAAGCGGAGCTCCAAATTTGTCTCTTCGTACTTTGACAAACGCGCCCAGGCGGCTTATCCGTCCACCTACGCAGATGCGTTGGAGGCACAAAAATCAAACGGCCACCAGATCTTTGCCAGCCGCTACGGCGACCCAAATCATCCCGCCAACTCGGGAAGTCCCTTGGCCTTACTGACTGGCGGGATCATCAACCCAAGAGGTGATCGTGACGGACTCCTCTCGACAGCAAGACGCATGAGGCGATCAAGCTCTCACGGAGAGGAAGGGCTCCTGATGCGGCTCGCTCGGACCGCCTCGAGTGCGGCAAAAGGGGGCCAGCATAGACAGCTGTCCTATGACTCTGCTCCCCTCTCTCGGTCTCATTACCATCCCCGCGTATCGGAAGACAGTGCCTATTTACCGCGCCGCGAGAGCTCGCACCAGGCTCACCGTCACCGTCATCGCCATCGTTGCGAAAGTTCCTCGAGCCAGTATGATGAAAGTCGGGCCCGAGCTGCTGGTGGTGGGCTCAGGCAAGTTCTAAGACGAGCCACGACGATGCAGCAGGACATGCTGTACCTCGTCATCGCCGAGATCCCAGATTCAGTGAAAGAGGAAATATCACGTTCGCGAGGGGGTGATTAAATAATGTAGCTCGTATCAGCGATCGCTCGACCCATTGACACCGTTTCTAGAGAAGGTCTACTCCAACTTGTACTCCTCCCTCTACCTCTGCCACCTTTACTTCTCTCATAACACAACACAGCCTGGACCGACGGATGCGTTGTTGTCACGGAAGGGGAAGGTCAAGCACTGCTATATATCTGGAATATAGACTAGCGAAAAGGGGGTATGAACATTGAGAAGAAGAGCAGGATCGAACACTCCATCTACGCCAATGGCGCGAAGGAAAATGATATGCTATGCCGCTGGATTCCGAGCCCTTTTTACAGACTCTTTTGATTTGGATTTGATTTGACTCGGCTGGGTTAATGGATTGATTGATCTGCAATGCTCTTCAATGTCCCTGGCAAGTCCATCAAGATATGTATGCAGATGGATGCCCGATCCCACATCTGTGACAGCATGGACGGAGTAGGAATTCATTCTTCGAACTGTACGTCCTCCCATTTTTCATGATAATCATGTAATGAGCATGAGCGATTCCATGAATCAATCGAGCAGGGGAACTTCATATCATATCATATTGTGCCATGTCATGTCATCTCCCCTGTACAAAATACCTTGACGGCGACACCCAGCGCCTGCTCCACCTTCTGCCTCGCCATGCTCAATCACCCTCATGAACATGTGGTCATGCCATTCATGGTATTCTTTGTTCCTCTCCTAATACTCAAAGTCATCATCCACGCCAGTCTTGCCCGACTGTTCCTTCTGCATCACCTCCTGCTTCCTGTACATCTCCGCGACTTCCGCACTGGTCGTCGCCTCCTCCGGCTTCTTGTCATCTCTCCGCTGAATGAAACGAGGAAACCTCAGACTTATCCCGTTCTTGCCGCCCATCTCGTCGATCGCGGCCCTGTACCTTGGACTCAGCGTTAGATCCGCCGTTTTCACTTCCCAGACGTGGCGCGCTTCGAACCAGACGTCCGGTTGGTCGTTTTTCACCGTGGAGTGAGAGTAAAAGGGCTTGGGGCGTTCAATCACTATTTCCGAGAGCTCCTTGGCGAGGTCTTCGAGTAGGGATTCGGAGAAGCCGGTTCCGATGTTGCAGACTGTCTCGAAATTTTGTGTCTCCGGGTTGTATGCGGCAAGGAGGAAAGCGCCATACCAGGAGGTGCGTTTGCCTTTGCCGTGATAAGCTCCCAGGACCACAAGATCCAAAGAATCGCCTATGCCAGAGAGATAGTCCTTTTTGACTTTGAGCCAGTTCCTCGAGCGTTTTGACGGCTCGTAGGCCGATTCTTCCGTGTCGAGCATCTTCACCATCAAACCTTCACAGGATGCTTTGACAGCGTCATCAAGCAGATGTTGAATCTCTTCGACGTCCTTTGCATCGCCATACTGGGCGAATTGGAACTCACCCTCTACCGGCACGAAGGCATCGTGCAGCAATTCCCGTCTTTCGCGGAATGTCTTCTGCACAAGCGCTTCACCATTATAAAAGAGCATATCGAAGGCAAAGACGCAAACTTTGACGGTGACTTCAGATGTCTTGACATCTTTGCGTTTGCGCGTCATTAGTTGTTGGAAGGGTAGGATTTTCTTGTTTTGAGGGTCCCAGGCGACGGTCTCGCAGTCCAGCACAAAACTCTTCGTCGAGGGCTTAATCCACGTGCTCAATTTCTCGAGAATATCGGGATACTTTTTAGACAGATCTTCGGAATTTCTGGAGAAGACGGCTGCCAGGCCCTTGAACACTTTTGGATCCTTCGTCAGTGTATTTTGTGCTGCTGGAAATTCGGACATGGATTCGGGGCAAATGTAGTGGATCTGTGAACGCTCCCCATCGTATTTATATTCACACGTAAAGGTCTTCCCTTCAAAGCGGTCAAGCACTTCGGTGATTGACTTGGTCGGTTTCGCAAGCATGGGTTTTAGGGGTACTCCTGGCTGCAATTTGCATGTCTCGTGTAAATTGAAAATCCCATGTTCCAGCATCGCCGGAATAATTACTTCGTACGAAGGCAGCTGGCTGTAGACCATCTTCAGGGCGGCCTCTCCCTGCGCCAGCTGGTCCGTGGTGGGCGCCTTGCCCTCTTTCGCAGCCTCGTGGGTCACCACAGCCTGTGCCAGTGCGATGATCACGGTTTTCTCTGCAAGGCCTAGTCTCAGTTTTCCTTCCAGGAAACGGACCAAGAACTTGGCCTCGGATGGCCCTCCCTTGTCCTTGGTGATGTCGACAGTTTTGGTTGCGGACGAGACATCTGCGGAAGCCATCAGTTTATTGATAGCTCGAACTTTCTGGTCTTGCGAGCCTTGCCCTTCCATCTTGGCGATATCAAGCAGTCCCTGATGAACGCCTCGGACAGTGAGCGGCTTTGGCTTGAACATCTGGCTCTGCTTAGATTTGCTTTTAGCGGCAACCAAACCCAAGTCACCAATTTTTTGATGATCTGCTTTGATGACGGATAACGAACGTCCAGAGCTCTCTCCGATAGCTTTCATGATCAGTGATTCCCCAATCCCAAGTTCGATGCCGGCGTAGTCAGCGGCGAGCTTGTTCAGCATGAGTTGGATTGTAGGCAGCAGATCCTCTGGCGTCAATCGGAGAACTTGTTGCAGGAACGCCGAACAGTAGGCTATGATTTGGAGACGCTTTGTGGTGAGTTCGATCAAGGAGAAGGTTGTGCATAGCGCCGCGTATGGCACGGGTTCGCCGGCTTTCCAATCCGGATAGGGATCTTGCCCGGTAGATTTGATGGTGGCTTGAATTTTGGCCACTTGGTTTTTATCGACCTTGGAGTCCTCATCCTCGCTTGCAGACACGTCATCTTCAGCCTCGGAGGCACTACTGTCCTGACCTGACGGTTCTGGCTCCTTCTTCGACGGCTCGGTTGGTTTCAGTGATGTCCCTCCGGCGTTGGCGTCTGATTCTGGTTTGGAGACCCTGCCGTTTGTCTTTGGGTTTTCTTTTGGGCAATCCTTAGATGGAGGTGTCCTCCTCCGTCTCTTGACTACTGGCTGGTCATCAGAATCGTCCTCGTCTTCTCCGCCTTCTGCGCTAGGTCGCCTGTGTTTTCTGCTTGAGGAATTGTCGCTTCCATCTTTCCCGCTCTCGACATTATCCACATTTTCATTCCTCAAGTCAGAGGGCGGATCCTTCCCGTCCTCTGGCGGATCATCCGCCTTCTTGCTGTTGAACGTTGTCTTCTGATTGAAGGACAGAGTGGACTGGGATTTAGGTTTGTTGCCGTTTTGCTGGTTCCCAAAGAACTTGCTGTGAAAGTCAGCCGAAGCAAAAAGTTGCACCAGTGATAGTAAGCGTACCCGAGAGTTGACTGCCTTGCTTGTGGCATGTTCGAGTTCGGTCTAAGAGGGAGGGATTTGGAGATGAAGGTCACGGGTCTAGAAGAGAGATAGATGAGGGAAGGCGCAAGGGAAGACCGCGACAGAAATATGAGGTGGAATGAATGATGAGAAGGTAGAAGGGTTCTGAGAGTCGCCTGAGGTGCGAACGCGCAACCTAATGGCGCCAGTTTCATCCAGGTGAAGTTGTGGTTGCAACAATCGCCGACGCGGTCGGTTTTTCAATATATCGAGAAGCAAAAGGCGCGTCGACGCGTGGGGTCATTAATTAATTCGCGTCTGTCACGATTAAATGACGTGTGATGTGTGAAAATGGCGGCGGGTGCCTGTTGTGCCTGCAACGCAAAAGCCCCGTTTGATCCTTCGCACACAGCACGAGCGTCGAAGCTCGCCATTTACATTTTGGTCCTGCATCGCTCAACCATTGACGATGGATTAGAAAAGATATCTACAGCGTCGCCAGAGCTGCCGGAAGGCCGTTACTCAAACAACCTTCGCATCTGACCCTCTCCGCCAAACGTCTGATTGATCCCTGAACTTGATACTGCTCCTTCACTCGCCACCGCTGTAGTTGGCAGAGTGACAACGGCAGCGCCACTACTACTCGTTGGTACCTCAAAGCCACACATCTAAGCAGGCAGACCGTACATGCTTTGATCGTACGCTTCTCGGACCGTCTCCGCCGGTTGTCATGGCCCAGGGTCGAACCACGGTGCGAAGAAAAGTTGGCCGTCCAGTAACAGCTCGATGTTTGTGGTGACGGTTGGGTTCTGCTGCCTGAAGACCGAAATTTGGTGAGGACTGGAGATTGCTGTGCCGTTGCCGTTGCTGCTGTTGTTCACGCCCGTGTCTAGTCTCGTCAAGAGAGGCGTTCCTGGGAGTGTCACGAGTGCGGATCGATGTTGTGGGAGTGTTCGACGAAGATCGAATCGCAGGAACGTGCTTTTCTGGAATAGCGCTTTGAGCCATGCGGAAGATTCTGGTGGGCTGCAGGACGTTGTCGGGGGTGTTTGAGCTTGGCGATCCTCCTCTACTCGTTCTGGACGAACTGCCTCTGTTCAGCTTGAAGAGAACACAATAAGCAGGTAAGAGAACGGGTTCGCAGAGGTATGCAGGACCTGCCCGAGTTGTCCTGGTCCTGCCCATTGCCTGACAGGACGTGCCGGGAGAATGAGAGCGACCCTAGCCCGGATTCATTCCACATGTTCGTTGCCGATTGATACCTGAAGCACAGCAGTCAGTGGAGTTGCGAGTTGGGCATCAACAGTCGTAGATCACGACTCACAAACGCATCGGCCATGGCCGTGACTGACCGCATACCTGGATCGGAGTGGGAATTGAGGTTTGTAGAGCCTGAGAGAGAGTGATGGCTTGGCTCTGCAGAAAGTGCATATGCGTTTGAGCTGTGCATCAAAGACACGGAAAACCGAGTGTCTCATACCATTCAAGAGTGCTCCTGAGTTCGAATAAATTGACGAGAATGTCACTTGGTGAGACAGAAAGGCTGGTGTATCGTCCAGCCACAGGACCTCTATCATTATTCGACGGTGGCCGATCTGAAGACGACCGCGTCTCTCGAGGCTCTGGGCCAGCAGCACTGTCGCTTGCCCGCTCCTTGACGCGATGCTCAATAGCCGGAGGTCCAGAAGTGTTCTGACCTGTTTCGGGCTGAAGTCTGCGAGTCCACTGGGACGGCGGGGCCTCGAATCTGCTTCGTATATGCAATGGATTTTGCGATGCTTGCAACGCTAGCATTCAGGTCGGTCAGCTGAGCATTTCGTCCTAGATAGGCGGCATTCTGTACAAGTCGAAAAGTACGCTTCCTCTTGGAAGGTGCTTAGGCAGGAGGATTGTCCAAATTGTTCAGTTGATCACGACGTGGCGGCCCATGACACTCCAAGTTGAACCTCACACAGTTAAGACAGCCTCCAGGGTGCTCGCCACGTTTTACCTGGTTTGAATGTGAAACCTTTGCAAACAAACAGACAGACACTCTTGGTGGGACTCACTTTTGCGAGCGCGGCAAGTCTGGCAACCTGTCTCAAATATCAATGATGTGTTGCCCACATTACCACCCTCCACTTACCTGAACGAGGTCTCTCTCCTTTAGATCTTCTGACAGCCGATGAAGCGGAGAATGGGGACGAAATCGATTCCTGAACCTCGCTGTTGAAATCCATGGGGAAGCGAAGTTCAGTTACGGTGACATTTTTCACCACACCGACGTCTCAATGTCCCTCCATCCAGCCCCTAAGACACCAGCACGCACGTGGAAGTCTAAAAATACCATGTCAAGCCTCACAGCAACAAGACGACATGCCCTTAATTGGCCGACAACTACTCTACGACGACAGGGTGACTGCTACTGCTACGCGGTACCGACTTTCGAACGACGTTATCTCAACTACTCGACACAAAGAAGCTGGTGTTACCAAAAGATCTTCAATGTTGGAATGGTCAGAGCCTCTTTTCACCTACAGTGGCTCAGCTCCAACTACAGGAGACCCAAAATGTCTTTGGATGGCGTGCTGCACGCCAGACCAAGTACGGCCAGTTGCTGGGCATTGATCTCTATGATTTCCTGACTGCATCTCGGGGGAATTGGCAATTGCACGGAGTACAGGATGGCTGGACGATTGGTTAGCGGTTGTTACGCTCGCCAGACCTCTCAAAGCCCATCAGGAGCTAACTAACGACGCCATTAGGCAGAGTTGTTCCTTCGCGTCTCCAGGGTTTACGCATGAACTTCTCTCGATCATTCAGAACTCCTGGCTGAAAATAGTCATACTCCATCCAGACGCCGTCCCACCCATGATACGGGTTCCTATTAAGCGCAATCCACTCAACAATATCAGAGGGACTCAACTGCATTTGAGCTTCTACAGCTTCAATGTATGCCCCTGAATACCTTGTCAGAGGAGATCAGCTTCGGTTTTGAAAATGTTCTGTACAGGACGATCCCAGCAATGAACCGTATGCAATCTCCCTTCCTCTGCGCTTTTCTGGTTGTCACACATAACGTCGTCGAGTGCTCATTTTGTGCGAGGCAACGTTTTCGAACTCAGGATAACGGCATCAGTCTTCGTCAAGCAGTTTGGGGAATACAACGAAAAGATACAGTAGTACAAAATCGATGTCACCTATTTATCCTTCTTGAACTCGTTTCCCCCTTCTGGTGTATGTCGCTGGAATCCTCCTTGCTACCTTAATCGACAACCGCTATGGACGTCGCTTGGTCTTCTGCCTCATGCAACCTATGTGCATCACTGGCATCGCTGTCATGTACACCCCCAAATCGTTCAACCAGGCTCTAGCAGGTCGCTGCCTTGTTCACGCACACAATGGCATTCTTGAATGGCTTATACCTATTGAACTGGGGCGAGGCTACTAGCCATGGGTATCAACTCGTACGGCGGTGGGTATAGCCTCTTCCCAACGCGCACACTCAACTAGGGGAAGTCCTCTCTGTTGGTAACTTGGTTGATTGATCCTCTATGAAAGATAGTTCCCCAGGACTATATAAGAAGAACCATAGTCTAGGGTCGGCGCCCCAGCCAATCATAACGCTATCCACCACTTCAAACTTCTCCCATTACAATACGACGCTATTGCCAGCCTGATCGATCACCATTTGGCGCGAGTCATTTCGTACCTGGAATCCACGGGAGAACTCGACAACACATTGGTCCTGTTCATGTCCGACAATGATGCAGAGGTGAAACTGCTCGAAGTGCTGCCCGCGATGGCCGGCGTGCCACCGGTCCAAGTAATCAGAGAGTTCTACAACAACGAGCTTGAACATCTCGGAAACGTGGATTCGTTCGTCTGGCATGGACCGCGGTTGGCGTGCGCCGCAACGGCACCGAGCAAAGGATACAAAGCCCAGGCCAGCGAGGGAGGCATCCACTGTCCTTCCAGGTACGCTACCCAACATTTCCTCGCTGTAACAGCACTATAACGCTCGATTTCACCATCGTGATGGACATTTTGCTTACAATTTTCGATCTGGAGACCGCTAAACACCGGGATTCACTTTCCGGGGCCGCGAAGTCGTCCTCTCTCGCGGGTGGTCCTGGGTTGATTATCTGAACGCGCGGAGCGAGGAAGTCTACGAGGGCGGCCGTCAGGATGTGACAGGATGGGAACTGTTCGGGCGGAGAGCCATCCAGCGAGGAAAATGGAAGGCGTTGTATCAGCTGGCGCCCCTGGGTTCCGATAAGTGGGAATTGTACGACTTGTCCAGGGATGCTGGCGAAGTTCACAGTCTAGCAGGTCAGGAACCAGCGGTCTTGAATACTCTCTTGGTAGAATGGGAGCTGTACTCTACCGAGACGGGGTTGTATCTGCCAGAACAATAGTGATATCTCGCCCTGAGCATTTTTCTCTGACTTTGAGAAGAGCATGTCAGCCAAACAGGCGCCGTTTCACTGTCCACCTCGACCTTTTCTACTTGCTCCCTCGCAACGTCAGCGTCCTCGGCGTCTTTCCTCTATAACAGAGTCGGTGGTATCGACCGTGTCGCGGTCTTCCCTCTGCCGTTCTTCTTCAGAACCCTCTCGATTCGAATCTTCATCCCCATATTCAGTACTATCGTAGTCGTACTCCTCTCCTCTATCGGTGAACAGGTGCCTGGGATGGACAATCTCCTTGGACCGGTAGCACTTGAAGCACAGGAAGAACCCTCCGCACTGGTCGCACCGGTAGTATACCCCAACCATAAGCTACGGCGTTTCTCCTTGTCAGCAATCTTTGGTGTACATAGAAGAAGTGTTTGAACAGGGAGAGGGTTTGGTCCTCACTTACAATCAAACACGCATCGCAATAATAACCCTCGTGACAAGGTTTGGCCTTTCTCGCGTGCCGCGACGGACTGTCCCAGTCCCGATTCGACTCGGCGGCACGAGTCTCCAAGAATTCGATGATGCTGTGAGGGAGGCCGTAGTGGTTCGCGAGCTTCAGAGCAGTCCACTTCCGGTCCAGGCCCAGGCCCTCCGCAAAGAGCTCTGCTCCGTGGCGCAGCAGTTCTTCGAGGATTGCTTGTCTTTGATCGGATTGGGTTTCCCATAGGGTGGATTGCCGCATGGCCCAGAGAAGTGGTGTCCATTGGTCCCTATCTCTGGCGTTGACGACATCTAGACCTCTCTCTTTCGCCTTCTCCAGAACATATTGAACCAGATCGAGTCGCCCGCTGACGACCGCAAGGTGGAGAGCGCCCCTGCCCATTTTGTCGGGCTCGAAGAGCTGCGCGCCATGTTCAGGCCGGCAGAGAAGCTCGACCCGGTCAATTGAGCGGTAGAGAGCGTAGTGGATGGCCTGACGGCCGACCTTGTCCACGCCGTCGACTTTTGCGCCCCTTTTCAACAACAGCCTGACGACTTCCATGGTTCCGCTAAGGATCGCCACGTTCAACGGGCCTCCCCACCAGTTACTGGTCAGGTTCGCATCGGCTGTGTACTCGGCATCATCAAGCAGGTATTTAATGATGCTATCCTTTTCCGAGCCCGGCTCGCGTAGTAGAGCCGCCTGAAGCGGGGTGCCATTGACGCCAGGATGGACGATGTTGGTGTCTGCTCCGTATTTGCAAAGCAGCTTGACCATGTCCAAGGACGCCATACGGCATGCACGTATTAGAGGCCCGCCGTGTGGACCGCCGGTGATGTTGATCCTCGCGCCTTTGAGGATCAGGTACCGAGCGATTTCCAGGTTGTCTTGCCATGCCGCGTTGCAGAGAGCTGTGTAACCATCATTGCTGGCACTTTCTAGGTCGGCCCCTCTGTTGACGAAGGCTTTGACGATCGAATCATCATCATTACGGCGGGTGAGGAGAACGGCTCGATTCAGAACCGAGTACCCGTACACGTCCTTGGCCCTTTCCAGATCCAGGTTGAACTCGAGGAGCATTTTCACTATGTCTTTGGCACACCCATTGACAGCACTCATAAGTTCTTCGGACCCTTGTGAAGGAAGGTTTCGGGGATCTGCCCCTGCGTCCAAGAGGCGTCCGACGCATCGAGTGTTCAGTTTGGAGACGGCCGCGCTCAAAGCTTCCTGTATGGCGTCCGGGTTGATCTTTTGTCTGTGCTCGAGCAAAGCCTCGAGAACTTCCTCTTTGTTCCACTTTGCCGCAAAGTAAAGACAAGTCCATCCATTATCCGTCTTAGCATTGATGTCTGCTCCCTTCTGGATCAGTAAACGAGTAATAGCTGCATCGTCATAAGCACCATGGATCGGCCGCCAACCATCATCATCTGGCACCTCCAAGTCTGCTCCTGCTTCGACCAGAATGCGAGCTATGCCAGAACTTTGAGCGTAAACTGCATGGAATAACGGAGTTCTACTCCTCCAATCGCTTCTGTTAAGTGGTGCTCCAGCGCGGATAAGCAGGCTCACGACGTCTTCTCGTTGTTCCCTCACCGCAAGATGGAGGGCGTCCTCAAGCGTCCAGGCAATCTCTTCCCGAGGGCATTGTTCACCACCTGCGGCGACAATTGCTTCGATGGCTTCCAATTCGCACCCCTGATCAATCCCCCACCCCAGAAAGTTGGCATACCCACCGCTTGCCAGTGTCCCTTCAGCTTTTGACATGTCGCTATATGCTGGTGAGAACCCAGACTTCATTGCGTTCTTCAGGACTTCGATGTAGCCGTCCCCTTCCGGGTCGACCAGGTCTTCGATGTGCTTCCAGAGAACATTCCAGCATTTGGTATGTCTCGTATTGATGACTGCAGCCACCCAATTCACGACAACCTCCGCTTCGAGATCAGCCGGATTGAAAGCTGTCAAGAGATGATCCAGAACACGATGATGTCCAAATTTGATCGCAAGCTTCGCACAAGCGTCGAACACATCCGCTAGCTCGGGACGAAACGTTGCGGCCGTGGTCAATAGATCGACGATTTCAGCATGCCCGAACTGACAGGCAAGTTCCAGCGTCGTCTCATTGTGTTCAATTTTGAAGGAAATGTCCTCACAAGCGACAAGAACTTTTGCAACCTCAAGATTGCCTCTCGCGCAGGCGTGCTGCAGAGCGGTCATTTTCAGAATCGTGGCATTTTTCTGCCCTCTCTCGATTGCTAAAGGTAGGAGTGCTTTAACGATTGCTGTCTGCCCGAGTGAAGAAGCTCGACACAGGAGCAGGGTTGGGTCTCGAAATCTTCTGGAGTCTCGAAGCCCAAGGTTAAGCACCTCCATAGCGACTTTCTGATTGCCTGATTGGATTGCGGCAAGAATCGAGTTATCCCAGGAGTCGGATGGAGATATTGGCTTTTTCTCGATTAGTCTGAGAGCAGTCTCCAGCTCGCCGTTTCCGGCTGCTGCTTCAACAGATTGGGCAACTTTGTGGCAAAGCAGATCATCAGGCGGCTTTGATGATGTTTGGTCATTGGTAACCCGAAACAACGCTTCCGAGAGGCCATAACTAGCGAGTATCGCAAAAGGGTTTCCTTTCGTAACGCTGCCCCGTGTAAAAGGGTTTTGGAGCTCCCAGTGCATCTTAGCCCACTCCATTAAGGGGCCTCCGTCCCAGAAATCCAGTAGCTGAGTAGTGCAATACTGTCTTCCAGCCTCAGAGAGCCGGGCGTGGCTGGGCCACCATCGCACCGCATAGTTCAAAAAGGTATGCCGCCATTCGACCGCAATAGTCGCTCTGCATCGGGGCCACTCATTTGTGACGGAATCACTGCCTCGGGTGCTGATGTACTCAAGGCAGAAATCTGCTATCTCCTGGTGAGACTTCCACCCAGGTGTTGTAAACGGTGATTCGTCAGACAAAAGATATCGACGGAGGTCAGTATGAGCAAACTGAACTTCATTTTGGTTGACCTTTACTAGTCCACCCAAGGTGGTCTGAATCCTAGGATGTAAGCTGAGAGCAGGGCCTTCAAGAAGCTCGAGGTTCTTGTTCTGTTTCTCATCGCACTGGGCTAGATCATTCAGTTCCAGAACGCCCAACGGGCGAAGCGAATAGAGCAACAGGTTCAAAATGTTGCGCAAGAACCGGTCCGTTGCCAGGGGTAACGAGGACAAAAGGGCCTTGAACACAACCTGGGGCGTTGCACTGGTTGATTGCGGGACTTGTAGGGCGGGAGTGTCCATATATGAAAGTGAGTACCGGGTTCGGTACCAGTTAATAACCATTGATCGCAAATCTTGGTCGCCCTTGCATGTTTGGAGGAGATGGAAAAGCTCGTTACAATCCCTCTCTGTCATGGGATTACCCTGCACGAATCTCAAGAAGTCGAGGTCGAGGTCGTCAGTAGGGGCGGCTTTGTACCTCCCTTCAACGGACTGTCTCTGGTCCAGTCTGTTCAGTTTTTCTCCCTTCTCCACATTCCCAGTGGCGATGTCGCTCCCAGTTCCCTCCATACCTTCTCGACAGTTTTGAGGCTCGGTCTGAAGGGTTGCTTCAACATCGACACCAGCCCTTGGCCAGAACGTTGTTTGTTCTGGTTGTGCACCTTTCGGAGTGGTGACGAGTACCTTGAATTTGACTTCACATTCTTCAGCCAACTTGTTAACCTTAGTCAAGAACCAGTCGCAAGACGTTATATTCTCTTGCAAGTTCCCCAGCACCAAGACGACGCCTTGATCTTTTGCTCCCAAGTCTAATAGAATTTCCATAAACATTGCAAGCAGATCTTCTCGATTCAACCACAAGAATTTGTCGAAAGCCCCAAACATCTTTTGGTAGATAGCTCCCTCGACTTCGCTGTTGGAAAATCGGGAAATCGTCTGAGCTAAACACAGATACAACATGGACTCAATTGAGTTCCGCCGAATGTCAGACGATATGAATTCGAAATAGAAGCAAGTCGCGCCTGGACAACTCGACGTCTTGCTGTCATCCATATAGTGGAACAGGCATTCTGCAGCTTGAATGGCGGCCTCAGTAGAGTCGAGAGCAAGTAGAAGAAGCTGCATTCCATCAACTCCCTTCCACACTTGGAAATTCTTTTGAGTAGTGATTCGCTCATACTGTCTGGGATTTCTGAAAGATGCTTTCAGTGGATACTGTGGAGGAGCTTGGGACGCGAGAGATAGAATGTAACTTTGGTCGTCACCTGTCAATCATATCTATCAGCACGTCTCGCACGCCAGTAGCACATGACGTTGCACGAACCGTAGGCCCGCAAAGCCGTTTTCAAGAGGGTTGTGAAGCCGGAGGTTGCACATATACCAGCTAGATCCTGGTGGGACAAATCGGTCGCAAGGCGAGCCTCGAATGGGAGCGCCATCGTCGCAACATATTCGTCGAAGACCTTTTCCTTCTAGTTAGGTATTGAACTTCGCCTTGGAATATCCTTGCAAGAGGTGATTGACGCTCACTCTTAGGGCTGGTTCCTTATGGCATGAGAATACGCTGATCATATCAGCCCAAATCGATAGCCTTGACTCGGCGAAAGCGGAGTTGACTTCTCTGATCCAATCTGCAATGCCATGGGTAACTGTCCAGGAGCCTGACTCGCCTATGGATCCAACATCCCTGAGATTCAGAAGCTTAACCAAGTCTCTTCTAAGCTCGTAAGACCCATCGCTTCGATGTGGACAGTCTAGGAATACCTATTTTCAATAATCAGCAATGTTCAAAATGATGGCCGTTTTTGCCCCGAATTTGTCTCACTATGGCCCTGGTATGCAGAAAGACACTTGCATACTCTGAATTTTGGCTGGCGAGAACTAGCGTCTAGAAAAGGATTCAAACAGGTTAGGCTCCACGATGGTCGAGTGGAAAGGCGGTCGTCTCACTTCCTTGACCAGAGTACCTCCGACATCATGCGCGATGAAAACGAGGTTGCAGTTCTATAGTTGTAGCGTCAGAGAGTGCTGATACATGGTGTGCCACATCGATTTATATTCCCATCATCCGGAAGCGGCTAGTATACCTCTCCATCCACTGTTCGGAGCTCTACCAAGGCGTTGAGGAGTCGTAGCGCTTGACGTCTCGCGCCATTTCTGGTAAATATGCCACCAATGTTGTCTGAAATTGGGTAATTGAACAGCGAAACTCGACTCCCAACGAAGGGTGAGAAAGTTTCTGAGAGCCAACTTGAACCGGCGTTGCTAGTGGACGAGCCCCAATATCGCAGATGAGACTTTCCTAGCCCGGGGACAGCAACGAAACTTGGAAAATGAGCAGACGATTAATTTGAATAGAGCGTTCGTGCATACTTGACTGAAACTTCAGCCTCGCTTTTCGCTAGGACGCTCAAGGCTGGATAGCAACTTTCCATTGGGGTACTTGCGCGGAATTGACAGATCACCAGGTAATGGTTGAGCAGCAATTTGGCATTACGGGAAATCAGAAAGATGGCTCAGTGTCTCAAAACTCAGCCCAACAGCTCCTCCAAAGGTCCGAGAGAGCGACAGACAGGGAGGTCACCTCAGTGAAGCCCAGTGACTAAGACATGATTTAGCTTGCATAGGACACAAAGAATGGAGCACGTGGATTGATCTGTTTTGACGCGGGGAAGGGCCTTGATCCTAGCTAGGCAAAAGGTCTCCCTTCCCAATCTGACAAGCTGCATTTGGGTGCCGGAAACCATGTGGCACTCTGAATCAATCGATGTGGATGGCTGGGTTTATGTATGGGAAATCAGTGTCACATTCTTTAGCACAAGCCGACTAAGACAAGTCCGCTCGAGAAGTGATAATGTAAACTATTTGCTGCCGATGTTGGTTGGGAACTGCATAGTCTTGCTCCGTTCTCCCCCCTCCCCACGACTACTAATATTGGCTCCACTACTCATTTGTTCTCTGGCTTCTTTTGTTTGACGGCATCGTTAACAATGGTTGTAACAGTAACATCAGACAGGTCTTCCAGTTTCAATTTCTCTGGATTCCCCAGATCATCAGTGTTATACACCTGCAGCCTGTTTGTCGGCTTTCTCCGTGGGTCGAAAGTGACAGGATCGTCCCTGGGATTGGACTTCATAAAAGATAAGGCTGTGGCCAGCCAATTCGGATAGATCTTCAAAGTGAAGTGGGCCTGGAACTTTGACAAATCGATGCGCTTTAGCAAGATGGCGGCCTGCAAGCTCGTTGGCACTCCAGACTTGGTGCTTTTGTTTTCTCGCAAAATCCACGATACGCTGTTGGGTTTGCCATAGTTGCGACCCTCGGTAAGGATGAAGCCTTGCACAGTTGTTGCATCAGAGGTGTCTCTTTCCACTGTCTTTTCGCGCTTCAACTCGGCTCCGACCTCTACCCCTGTCGCATTTGCACCAACTTTACCACCAGCTAATGTGTTCACCGTCTCGCGCTGCGTCGTCGGCTGAACGCTGAAGAAGCCCTCGGGATGCATTCTGTCAATCCATGGCTCGCGGTCCTCATTATTCTTGGGCGAGAATGTGACTTGGATATCTACTTTCTTTATGCGGTGATTTTGTTCGAGTGGTTCGAAGCGAAATTTGAGGACAATAACACTGGCGAGGTCGTTGCTATTGGGATCGGCGGAATAGTATCCGTGAACAATGTCCGTGCAGAAACAATCAGCGTAGAAAATTCCTCTTCGCTGAATAACGTTCGACCGTTGGTCTGGATCCTCGGGGTCGTCTTCCGTCCGGAAATTTGCCTCGGAATCTCCGCTTTGGCTCAGCCTGATCGAGAATGAAGGTGGATAGGGCTCAAAACTAGAGTCGTTAGCTGCGTTTTCCGCGCAGGCAGACGAATCCATATTTTTGCAAAGAGCGCAGCGCGTCTCCACGCAAAAGAGATTGTCTCAGTTATGGGTGGTAGGGTGGGAGCGCTGAAATACCTCGTGGCCTCTTTTCGCCGCACCGTGGGCAGCGGAGGGGGCAGTGCACTCACAGATAGTGCAACTGACCTTCTGCTATCCCGCCCCGTCACACCCACCAACCGAACGCCATCAGTCAGCTTGCATCCGAGTGGAGACAAGCGTGACAGCCTCTACCTAATGCGGCTAGCTTGTCCGCAAGCAGTCAAGCCTCAAACTTTACCCCGCACCAAGTGCTGTTACCAACCTATTCACATGAATACACACCCGAGCTAATGTGCAAGCTTTGTCCTTCTGTACTGTCCATCACAATACGAGACGAGCCTCAAGGAAAACCTGGTCTATAAAGAGCCTCAAAAGTCACGCGACGCATGTGTCGTTCTTTTCAGCCAAACATGCAAGTCATAGATTGATGGATTGGTTTATTTATGACCTGTTGGGACAATCCGGCTATATCTGCCCTCACGCATGTTCACCATACTTTCCCCTTAATGTAGTTTTTGTCGATCACAATCGTCATCCACAGTTGTCCTTTGTGAGTTACCCATGATGCAGGAACCTTCCCGAGTAAGTCGCGGGGCTCAAGTTGCCGAAGACGATGACCGAGATCCGCCGAGACTTGCAACCGGCAATGTGACAGGGTGCGGAACCCAGGGTGCGAAAGAAGACGTAAGCATGGAAAGTATCGAAAGTCCAAGACTCACAATGAAGATAAAGAACCTTCAGAGAGTCCAATCAGGTCATATGTCGGTCCATGGTAGACATGATACCCAAGGGATGACAGGAGGAGATGAAGACGATCTCCTCATGGAATTGAAAGAAATATGGGACGACCTACCAGATGATATCAATATCAGGGCAACGCTACAAGAGATCAAAACTAGAATCCTGCGCAGGGAGCTTCAAGTTGATAATGAAGAACAGCTGCGAGCATTTATGGCCAGTGACGATGCGGACTACGTTGGATTTCTCACAGACAAGGAACAGGAAAATTTTTTACACATGATGGCTTCTGATACTCAGAATAGATGCCTTATCAAATTCCTGGCAGAAGAACGGAGTCAGCTCATGTTTGGAACGGATCGATCTATGTACTATCCACTCCATGTCGCCATCAAGGAGAAGAACACGGACTTCATCACGGCCGTGCTTGATAGCAAATTTAGCGAGACAGACGACATGAAGAAGGTACTTTCACACAAGGGTGGATCAAATCCAGGGAACTGTATTCACATCGGCATTCAAGTGGGGCTCGATCCACAACTCATAATCAGATTGATCGAGAAGTCGGACGGGGCTACGCTGTCAGAGCAGGACGGCGCAGGGTTGACACCACTCCATTGCGCCGTAGACTACAAAAATTGCAGGAAAGGTCAATTTGAGGTAGTCCAAGCTCTGTTAAAGCATGGCGATGCGGCTCTCGACAAGGAAGGTAGTATCCATGGTTCGCTCTCTCCTTATCGATATCACGACGAAACGAAAAAGATCGAAAAGAAAAAGCTCGAGGAAGCCGAATGGGCAAAAAGGCAGAATGATGGAAGAGGCAGCCAGCAGCCACGAGTTGGAACTGACAACCGTGGTGTGCGTGACCCTTCTCATTATCAGGATGCTGGTCAGGCTGATCTCCGGAAGTCCTCCGAGGATGACAGGGAGGACGCCAAGGAGCGAAAGAATATGATCGACCTTGACCCACGAGTATACGGCATGCGGAGACAATCAAATGCGATTCGAGCTAATTCGGTGGGATCCCGAGTAAGATCCCCCACAAGCGATGTTCCAGCAGGAGGTGGCGCGTCAACGCCTCCTCCAACAATTGACCGCGTGTTATTCTCGCCAAATCCTAACCCGGCGAATCTGGGAAGACCCAGAAAGGCGATGCGCGCATCACGCCCAGGTGCGGCAAGGAGATCATTTGGGTCCCAGAGACTTCATCAGCCTGAAGCACCTCCAGATGACGAAACCGCGGATGAGATTGCGAAGGAACTGAAGTTACACTATCTTCGAAGCATCTTCAAAGGATCTGCTTATTCAGGCTCTCCGGAGTCTGTGGACGGCGATAGGCCGGAGCTTCGAAATCATGACAGGGCAGTCCGGTTTCTGTATGGAGACAACAAAGAAAGTAAGGATCTCTTTACTGACATTCAATGGTTTGCGTGTGGCGCTAATGAAAACTGCTGTTCAGACCGTCACATATGCTTCAACTTTCTCGACGGCCCTTCAAAGATGACCGCCGATAAATTCAGGACAACCTACGGGGGATTTAAATTTGACCATGTTCTGCAGTACGTCGGGTTCCGTCGTCTGGAGTTTACAGTGCCCGAGCTTCCTCCTAGAGGAAGTGGTACAATGTCTAAATCGCCTGCATCCACTGGGAGAGGACGAAGAGACATGGAGGTACCGTTCAACTGGCTTCATGACAAAGGAGTGACAAATATTATCAAGGTCATTGTCGACGACTTGGAGCCTCCTTCTCACAAAGACGAGTCAATTCAAAATGCTTTGAAAAAGTTTGATATTGAGATCCTTGACTGGAGAAAGATTGACCTCTGTCCAGACACAATTTGCAGGTCCTGTCCAAACCTACGCGAGGTTCACCTCTGGTGGAGCGGAAACAATGGGATACTGAGAGCGTGGAGTGAGCCGGAAGGGTTGGCTAGGTTGGAACGATTGGAAGCCATACAGCTTCACCAAACACAGGTAAGCTCTTCCTAAGATCCACCGCATGAAGCAGACGCTCAGCTTGGCATATTGTAGGAATTAGAATCCGAGTCTTGGACAGACATGAATATCGCGACATTTCGGAAAAGGCTGAGAGATTTGAGAAATGCCCAGAACGGTGCTCGAAAGCCCGGTGACAAACTGCCACAAATTCGTGTTCCAGACCCAATCAAGGCCATTGATGGACCGGCCCAACGACCAGCCGGATCACACCCCAAAACCGACTTTAAAGTCCAGCGGGAAACCCACAAGTGGCTGCACATAATGGACACGTTTGCCGACGGGATATACAAGATCAAACCGGATCGCGATGTAGAGTTCTTTGAATATCTGCCTCCAGAACTCCAATCAGACGTAAAAGTCGCGTTGATTGATGACGGTGTGCAATTTACCCATGAGAGTCTGCAGGAGAAGATTGACGACGGCTGGAGCTTCGACGACGGCTATGATGGCGTCGATCTTCCTGGAGCTAGACGACCGTTCCACGAATCCAGCACTGGCCATGGAACTCTCATGGCCAACATGATCTGTCGCATCTGCCCAAACGCTAAGATATTTGTTTGTCGGCTGAACGTATATCCTGGAGACGGCACAAAGTCCCATTTTTCAGCGAAGAGTGCAGCCGATGTTAGTTCCCAAGACCATGTCTCCCCCGAAGACTCTCGAAAATAGTTAGCTGACACTGAATACAGGCAGCTGTATATTGCGCAACTCGAGGATTTGACATCATCTTGATGTCATGGACAATCAGGAAATCGATATACACACCGGACTCAATGAACGATGGGAAGGACCTCGATCGGTTAGAAAGAGCTTTGGACGAGGCATGCAAGAACGGCGCTCTGCTGTTTTGTGCGGCGCCGGACGAAGGTGGCATCTCAGATGAGAAGTTCCGCACCTATTATCCTGTAGGATGCGACTCCTTATCTAGCCGCATCTTCAAAATCGGAGCTGCCACCTCTACCAACAAGGAAGCGGATCGCACCGGAAAGTCCTCGCAACTCGACTTTATCCTCCCCGGACATGAGGTCAGAGAAAGAGGAAGCGATACGGTCAAAGTCGACGACAGCCTCAAGAGCGGATCATCGGTGGCAACGGCGTTGGCCGCAGGACTTGCAGCGCTCGTCATCCATTGTGTGCGGCTCGGCGCCATCGAGACTATTCGCGCACGCACCACTAAAAGGAATGGCGACGCTAGAAAGAGTGGGGGTGACACCACAAGCGAGGATGGCGCCAAAGCTGAGGATAACACAAACGAGGACATGAGGACGGCATTGGAGGCCGTCGCCATCAAGTTGGAAGATTTCGCTGATATCAAAAAGTTCGAGCACATGATGCGCGTTTTCGCCAGTATCCCGCGGCAAAGAAAGGCAGGGGAGACTTGGAAATACCTCGAGGTGGACAACACTTTCGAAGGGCCAGGGAAGACACTTGTCAACAAAGAGGCGGGAGAGAGCCAGAAAATACTGGCTGTGACCAAGCTTGCCATGAACTTTGTGAGCTCCGGCCTGTCAAAGTTATGAAGCACAAGTTGTCCGGCTGGGCAGTATTGGTATTGCTGTTGTACACAGAGTGTGAGTGCATCTATCTGATTGATTGTGTCTCGCCCCTGCCTACTTCAGAGAGACTCTGGCTATCTATATACTATTTGCACTGTGGCAACAAGCCGTCCGCTGAATAGATGTGGACTTGGCCAGATCTCTCTAGCCCTCGTTATCGACCAACGGTGGCACCGAGGCTGTCATAGAGAGGCCTCGGTTGAAACATTGATGGATTGGTTGGTTTGCCACAGTGGCGTTCTGCTCTCAACAATTGCTCTCTTATACTTGTAGATAAACGCGAGCGGAGGGCCAATAGGAGCTCTCTACTTGATGAGGAAGCTCTCCATGTTCAGCCTCGGCCACCGTACTGGGTATTGGCCAGAAACGCCAAGCCCGCACGTCCGTTGCCCCGCACCTTCGTCTCCGCCAACCACGCGTCGTGCTTTAGCGTGTTTATTTCGCCAAGCCGGAAATGCTCGAGACCTTTAAATCGACTTCTTCCCCAGCTTCGCTTCTTCCTCCACGACGATCCCGCCACCGTTCTTCCCCCACCTCTTTCATCAGGTTGTGAGCCCGTCCGCTCTCCTTCACTCGTTCTCTTCGATCCGTCCCCCTGCCATTTCTCTTTTTCCCGTCTCGCTATCCTATTTTTCCTACCTCGTACATTCCTTCCCTCTCCTCTTTCTCTGCCCTTTCCCGACGACACCCAGTTGTCGGGTGCGAAATCCATCGGGCGTTAATTGAGTTCGCGTTATGGGTCCCCATGAACATAACCCGCAACGTCTTCGGGAGATTGCAGCTATCCGACGCATCGAACCCTACAGCTTGGGCGCCTGCCGAAGCTGGGCAGTGGCTGGGGCTGGTTACTGGTCGGATCGGTCTCGATTTCACTCTGGTGGTTTGGACTCGATGTCGTGCTGCGAGAACCGACACCACTTTGGGCAAGAAGAAGGATACAACTGCAACTCTCACAATTGTCGAGAATGCAGCAAGGTTCTCAACACATGGAGCCGCTGGCGTACAGACTTTCTGGCATCCTGCGTTCCTTGGCAGGTGAAGGAGATCATCTGCGGTCGGCTTTTGGTTAACTTGCGGAGTGCTCGAGAAAGGCTCGGGCAGTTTGGCAGTGACAGATTGTGCCTGCGATCTTGTTACGAAGAACCGTTGTAAACTTCACAACGCCCGCCTCCATGTGGAGCCTGCTTGCTTTCTCGGTAAGTATTCCTGGACTTGCAAATGGTCGTTGGCCAGGCTGGCAGATGTGGTTGTGCCGTTCTGCGCTCTTTCGAGTGAGGACGGGAATTGCATTCATGCGTTGCGCCCTTCGCACGTTATGGACCTGAAGTTCGAGAGAGGCGCGCTGGTTGTTGCGGGCGGACCAGGCCGATGAGGTGAGGAAGGGTTGACCTAGATCCTTGCTGTGCTCGTCAGGCGGTCTGCCAGCTAGTACGGCTTGACGGTGGTTGATGTGATCCATTTCTGGGTCGCAGGTGATTGCCCAGCAAGCGTGACTAGCGACACAGGTTTTGCCACACCCTTCCACGACGTATGTTATAATGCGGTATTACGATCCAAAGGATACAGAAGTATTGGCCGGCCTGGCCAACCTTCATCCGTCATCATGGAATCCTCAGGAACCACGGGATACCAAGGAAATCTCTTGTTTGGCACCGGTCCGCTGAGGAAAGGAATCTCTGGAATCACGAGGATGTGAGGAAACGATCCGCTCGCTCTTCCGCTTGAAATGGACTGTGCAGCCGGCTCAAATGCCTGCTTTCTTTGTGCGGCACCTTTTTGGTAGTCTGAGAGATAGACCCGAGAATTGCGAGTACAAGCCCGAGACAAGTCAAGTGCCAACTTTCCGCACTGGGTAGCTTCCCCAGCTGGACAAACAGTGGCTTACGGCTCACTAAATGAAGGCATCCCATTTCTAGTCTGTCAGAAAGAGCTGGAAGAGGCAACGAGCATTTCGTCAATCACAGTCTCAAAGATGTTTTGGACGCTTGACCTACCAGCCTTGACGAAGGCCGGGAGGAGTGATTTCTGCTGTCGAGCTGCAGCGCAGAAAGTAGACCAGGTTGGTATAGCCACCTCGGTTTTCTGTTCTCTGACACGGAGGTGCAGAGGCAGTGAGAAAGTCCCGAGCAATGAGCCTGATCAGCCATAGACTTGGGCATCCCAAAGAGATGCGAGAGCTTGCGACCTTGTACCCTGGGACCACCCCGTGTTGACACATCACGCAGAGGCCGAGAAAAAGGCCCAGAGACAAGCAAGAACAGAAGGTTCGATCACGCTTCGGAACTTTAGGGAAGAAACCCATTCGGCTCCAACCATTGAGTACAATACAAATGAAATCCACAAAACTTGAAACCCGTGCTACTGTGCCATGCGCAGGCCAGTGTCGCACAGTATCATATGGGGCCTCGAGTGCGGCCGTACTCGAGAATCTATGCAACCCAATCAGTTGGTCCAATCGCCCGATGCGAGGACCCAACTTCCATTCAGTCCGAAGGCATTCCCAAAAAAGATCACCAAGCAGCGAAAGGTGTCAACGGTCTCGTCCAACTACGAGCCCCACCGCGTCGATTTCACGAGGGTTAAATTTTCAAGCATGCAACACCCTGGGGGCGCTTTTTCCAGAAGAGGTCTCAACATCTCCGTGGAGCTTACAACGACCATGCAAAGGACACAACTGGCGGATATTGCTGGCCCTGGTCCCAAAATGGCCCTGAAAATAAAACACGGCGCGAAGAATCATCCAACATGGCTCTCCCGAGCGAGATTTCAACATCTCAACAATGACCATGACATGACGCATGACCCAACTTCATGCTGCCTGTGATGCACATTCTTGAAATGAACAGCGAAACCTATACCGACACCACCACCAACATCAACACTCAACACCGGACACCCACAGGTCATACCATACCCCCACGAAGACGCAATCCATCATTCTCGACGCTGCATGGCTCGCCTCGTCTGGCCTTCCAGCACCGGTGCGAGAAAAACGCGCTTTACACCGCCGACTCTCCCTCGTCGGTCGTGTGAAAAGTAGCTGTTTACCACGCTGCCGTGTTGCGACGGGACGGGCAGTCGATGTGCTCGCGAAGGAAAAAGCCCAGAAAACACAGAAATAATAAATCCGATCCTGCGATAAAAAGGGGGTCATGTGCATGTGCATGTGCCCCGGTCGTGCGTTGTGCGTGGCGTTGGTTCGCGTGTATGTGTTGTGTATTGTGTTCCGCTGTCTGTCGAAGCACGAAGACAGTGATCGAAGAGCGCAGCCGCCGTTAGGCCGATTCCTGATCTCCGGCTTACTCGTCCACAATTTTTTTCTTCTCATCTTTTTCATCATGGATTAAAAAGTTTCGCACACTTGCTTGCTTCAGGCAAGTCCATGGAGAAGAAGACGGCCGGCAGCCAGATCCTATCTGCGGTCTATGCAAGGACGACATCCGGGGTTTCGCTCTTTGGGTGCAAGCCTTACGCGAATGCGCCTCTGAGTTGACTCGGAAACCGATAGTCGCAAGATGAATCATGTCTTTATCCTTGCGGAAGCAGTCGACGAATGCTTGTCACAGAGATTGACAGACTTTTGGAGCTCATGCTCCAAACAATCCTATGGAGACGACTTCGTCGCAAATTGACTATCTCAAAAAATCTGGCTCCCCACTTTGTCTCCCCTTGTCCAGTGATACATGATGCATATTATACAATGATATAGCCATACGGATCTTCTATTCTCTGGAACATCGGCCCAACAAGTGTCTCGTATCTATACACCTGTTGCTGTCCGGGCCAAGAACGCCGCCCCATTATGCAAAAGCTCCGTGTCCCATGTTCCGCCCACTCCGCTTCCTCACCAAAGCTAGGGTCTTCTGCATGCATTGGCGTTTCCACCAATCCTTGAACCGGCCTAGCACTTTCCGCTTCTTGTACGCAAAATCGGACATCGGAATCGTGTCACCCAACTCTGGATGTGGACACTCAAATGACTGCCGTATTTTCATCTGACATGATTGGCTCATTCTCATGGTACCACTCTCTTGTTGTGTAGAGCTATGTCGGGTGCCCAACAACCCGGATGACTTCGTGAAACCGCTTCGAAAACTGTGCAGGTCGAATCTTTTCCTGACAGCATTTGACTGTTTCTGGGCCAAAGCGGCCGAGCTATCGTCAGAGAAGAAGCTTTGAACTTCACGTAGAGCGGGTCGATACAACGGCTGTGGCGGGTCAGGGAACCGAAGGCTGAGATTTAAATCGGAGGACGTTAGAGGCGGTCCAAATTCTGGAGGGGCTAACTGAGGTACCGACCCCACACGTGGTATTTGAGAACTGTATCGCGTACTGTTCAGAGGTTCGACAATGCTAGCGTTGCTTCGGTTGGATTGGACAGTCCGGATTGATGCTTTTCGAACAATTTCAATGCCCTTTTTGACGGGTTCGGGCATCGCAGCCAGCATACTGGTCCATCTTCGAGGCATCGACGTCGACACAAGAACACTACCTTCAGACACCGTCGTCGGCGGCTGCACCATCACCGAGTCCGCACTCAATTCGGCGTACCCAGCGACTGGCGACGTCTCGCTCCTCTTTTCGAGCGAATCTTCGGTCGTCCAATCGTCGTCCCGGCCGTCGTCTGCTATTAACCCGCCCGTCCGTTCGAGGCCCTCCAGTTGTCCCAGACTCTGTGATTTCCTCTTCGACTTCATCATTATCCGCGCCCGCCGTCTCTGATGCGATGCCTGTCTGGCAAGCACGTCACTTTTTGATCTGTGATGAAGCGCATTCTGGACTCTCCTGGCCGGCAGGGAATTCTCCGCCTCGGGGCTTAAGCTCAATTCTGACAGCCTCCTGACTTTGAATCCCGCCCGTGGAGGATCCGAGTCAATGTCAGCCATGTCACCCGATGTCAATGATCCTTTGATGTTTGACTGGTCAGATTTGGTTGACTCTGAAGTTAACAGTCCGCTGGTTGACTGGAGTGTCTGCCAGCCGGATGAATGTTCCCGGATCTTCGAGCTGGCGGACGACAAGATCGATGTGCAATTGGCGTGATAATCTTCTAGAATTACCCCGGGAGGCAGTCTGGCATCCATACTAGCAAACAGACGTCGGGGTATGAGTCGACGCCTCTCGGAACTGGCGAGACTCGAGTGCTGAATAGTCGAACTCGAGGTTGTCGGCCTCAAATTCCATGGTGAGAGAATCCTCGGCACGATCGACGGTGCTCTGGTGGTGCTTTCTCCGCTACTGTCTGGTGGAGCGACTGGATCCTCAGAACAGTTGTCTGTTTCAGGAGGACCACCCTCGCCCTCAATTCCGTTGTCGGTCAAGCCTAAGCATTCAATATGTCTATCCAGGAGTGACTCGATGGTTGATCTCTCGTTGATAGTCATCTGACTGGCATCCCCGTTGGCACTGGGGGCCGCTTGCTCCCTTGCCGGAGTCTCCCACTGGTTTTGCTGCTCAGCAGCATCGATCTTTGGTTCACCCTCCGGGTGTGGCGACAGAACTCTCTCAAGTGATTGCAGGTCAGGATGTTCTTCCACAGCATCGAGTCGGGAGAAAGTTTGAACGTGATGGAGTACTTTTCCTCGGTCAGTGATATAGTTGTCGGGAATTTCAAGAATACGACTGAACCGCTTTCTACTCTGTGATGACATCGGGCGCTCAGGCATTGGTGACAATATCTCGGGGCCCTCCTTCGAACGGACATCGCCAGATGTCTTTGGTCGTTCCTTGAGCCCAGGTGAGTAAGAACCGAAAGAAAGCGGTCTAAAATTGAATGAAGGCAATTCCCATTGAGATTGGACCCGTTGAAGGTCATTAAATGCTTGCCGGTGATTCCTGTCACGATGCTGATCTCCGTACGCCATCAGCCCGGAGATGGAAGGTTTGTGGTCAAAGACAGGTGAGTGCACTCGAGCCGCGAGAGTTGTGAGATCTCGCGGGCTTCGACTTGCGTTTGGAAAGAATGCACTTGAGTGGGTCGAGCCGCATGTTCGACGTGAGGCGGTTGACGCCCGAAGATTGTCCTTTTCATCTTGCGACCACCCTTCCAGGTGGTCCTGATCGGCAGGACTAACCCTCTCACTTGCCTGGGGGTCATTCTATCAGCAGATGAACGATTACGGAGGACATCTTCAGGAACTGCAAAAGCATTGGGGGTCTCTGACCTTTTTGTTGGCAGAAGCAGGCCTCGTGGGCGGCGCAGTGGTGGCTCCGAGACTCGACTTTCGAGGCGGGATCACGCCAGCGTAGCTGTATTTTGATTGTTTTGATTGCTCACTTGGACGGCGGTTGTGTCCAGTCGGCAGCTCCAACGGATAGAAGACAGACCCAGGGACCGTGCCAAAAGGGGATTGAGCCTGACGGCGTTCCGGAGTCGGGAGGTTGTCTAGGATTGTCTGGTCCATATTGAAGGGGAGACTGGCTACAGAAGGGTCGTCCGGCGGTGAGAAGCAATCCTCCTCGAGAAAAGACTCGGAATAGTCATAATAGTGAGGCGTTGTGGACTTCGTTGGAGACTTTGGCAAACCTCGAGATGAGGCAGCACTGTGATTCCAGACCGGCCGAAAGCTCTGGAGCGAGTTGGACATTGGAGTAGTCGTTCTTTGAAGCGGATAACTAGTACCAGGTACCCCATTCATGGAAGAAACGGCCGGCGACGGGAGCCGGACAAAGGAAGAGATAGAGTTGTTCAACTCAGGTCGGTATCCAGGTGGACCAGGCCGCAGACGATGCAAAGAGACGGGGGATGAGGCAACTGTCCCAACACTTCCCACTCTTGGATAGCCATGTCTTGCACCATATCTGTACGGGTATGCCTCGCTTAGAGCGGGGGAGGAGGCGCGATACCCAGGGCGGCGTCTGTGGCCGTGGACAATCATGGGAGAACTGGAATGCAGGCTATGGACATCTCGCTGACTGCGTAGAGTGACCAGCGATCTGTGCGTGTGAAGAGGATGGCCAGGAACGCCGGGGCCGATGACAAACTGCGATCTGTGGCGATGGCCGACTCTCTTTGAACGCGGGCCTGAGCGCAGAGGCGTCTGGGCAGAATGGATAGTCTCTCCACCTGACAACGCTGAAGATGATGGGGCCGGGCGCGGGCCGTGGTGTCGGTGGGAGCGTCTTCGGGAGGATCGTTGATGTCCGAGCTGGGGAGTGAATGAGGCATCCAAGGAGGCAGTACGGCGTCTAGTTGACTGCAGGCGAGAAGCAGAACGGGGAATGCGTGAAGGGCGAACGGCAAATGGACCACTGTCTCCCAGTTCGGTCGTGTTTCTCAGCATGCTTTGCACGGCACTGGAGCGAAGTGACGTGGTCGACGGCACTGTCGCCAACTCGTCTTGTTTGGCGCCATTCTGTGTGGCATCTTTTCGGGTGTTGGGGCTGATCTCCTCCAGCGGCATCGCAGACGAATGTCTCGCGTGCCTGGAGGTGCTTGATGTGGGAAATGGCAGAAGAAGCTAGACAGAGAGTGATGTGAGTAGGAGGCGAGGTGGCAGATAGGTGAGAGAAGACAATCAGCGCATTGAGGGGGTGGTCATGCTGGGAAGAGAGTGATGGTGATTTTCCATCCAGGAATGAAGGGCTGACTGATGGATGAGAAGGAGATGGAGGAGGCACCGGGAGGAATTGGATAGAGGTTGGTGGGAAGGAGCGAGAGGGCGAAGTGCAAGGCCAAGGAAGGAAGGGGTGAGGATACTCTGCGATTTGTCTGGGAAGGAACGCGCCCGACGTCCCACGACACAGCGTTATAAGGGAGATTCTTCAGGTGATGTCTTTCATCATTCGCTCAGCGGCATCCGTCTTGGTCTCTTCAGGTCGGCATCATGCTAATCTTTCCTGCTGCACCAACACCAGCAAACACCCCACGGCTCCGGCTGGATGAGGCTTCTTTGCTGTTCTTATACACCAATTCTTGCAAGCCTGCACTGCTGGTGCTGGACCGCGCACTGGAACCACTTTTGACCTTCCTTGTAATGGCATTGCCGCCTCTCTTCCCCTTCATGCCTGTTGTTCTTCCTCTGGAGCTCCCGCTACCACGCTGCTGAGAGACGCGCGAACCCCGCCGATTCCAAGGGGCGGATCTGGGACGAGAGTTGCGCTTTTTCGATACCACCTTCTGAGGTTTAGTCTCGAATGCTGATGTCTGAGACACTTGCTCTCTGTCAGTAGTTGGGAGGCTGTCCGCTGCAACACACGACTTACGTTTCTCGTTGAAATGGCTAACATCGTCAGCTACACTGAAGTAGCGACTGCTCTCGGTCTCGTCGAGATCTCGATCGCTTTCAGTCACTCGATCCGCATCCTCGTCGTCGCTGATTTCCACAATTGATCGGTCGTGAGGTTCGTCAAGATCTTCCCCTGTTGCCTCCCTCATCGCCTTGTAGTCATTATAAGCGGATCTAGCCAGGCGCAGCAAGACGGGCCCAAACATTCGGAAGGTTTCCGGATTCATCTTGCAAATGTCTCGGAGCGCGTTCTCATTCTGGGGAAACTGAGTCGCGATTTCGCGGAGTATCAGATCCGATACTGATGTCTGCCGTAGACCATTGATGATCTGAATGTGCTTAATTTCCTTCTTTGCGTTCTCGACAAAGTCATCGAGTATATGTTGGTGTACCTCGTCCAGTTGTCCCGTCCTTTCATCAGTCGTAATTGGAGGTCCAATTTTGGCGTTTCTCGTTGGCCGGCGATTGCTAACAGCTGGCATCGATTCAAAACACGGGCCGTCATCTTCTTCCTCTGATTCGTCGACAAACTCTTCGTCTGAGTCCTCGTCAAACTGCGCACGGGGAGGAATCCTGCGAGACCTTGGCTGCAACGGCGACGAGACGTTGGTAGACGTCGGATAATCGTCAGGAGCGGCTTTGACGCCACTCCGTTGTGTTTTCTTTCTGCACTTCAAGCCGTCTTGCTTAGGTCCCGATTTACCTCTCGGCGAGACTAGAACTTGCATACTCAGTGTCACTCGGCCAGTCTCAAATTCGGGAGCTCTGGGTCCCGGCTTGACATATTGCGTAGCAAAGCCAGCAGCGTTGACCTTGTTATATTCTACCAAAGCATCCTCGCTAATGAGCCGGTAGAACAATCGTTCCACGTCCCCTCTGGCTAAATCCGCCCCAAGCCCGTATTCGCGAAGTTTGGTGTGCTGGAGCTCAGAAATCTTCTTGTTCTTGCCACCACGGTAGACATCCACACAGTGTAACAGGGTGACTTGCTCACGAGATATTTGCTGAACAATACGAATTGCATTCCTCGCATGCTCGGAAAAGTCTTGCGTTTCGAAGGTGCTGGTCGAGTTACAATTATCGCAGGTATTGTTGCAATCTTCTCGCTTGAAGTGTTCGTTGAAGTATCCGAGCACTTGTTGTCTGCGGCAATCGCTGCGATTCTCGCAGAATTGAACGACATTGCGCAACAGGTGCTTTTGCCTCTCTTTTTGCTGCCAGTCGCCGTCACCTTTCTCAATCATCCGCTTGATGGAGGTCGTATCTCCATAGCCGTAGTAGAGATAACACCCAGCTCTGCCACCATCCCGCCCAGCTCGACCTGTCTCTTGGTAATAACCTTCGAGGCTTTTGGGAATAGTGTGGTGAACGACAAATCGAACATCGGGCTTGTCGATCCCCATGCCAAACGCGATCGTGGCAACGATGACTTTGTACACTCCGGCTTGCCATTCTTTCTGGATATGGATCCGCTCTGCTGCATCGAGCCCAGCATGGTAATGGCGGGCTCGAATATTATATTCTTCTTGGAGCTGCTTCGCAACGTCTTCACAAGCTCGGCGCGACAGGCAGTAGATGATTCCCGCCTGTCCCTTGTAAGACTCTTCTATGAGACGTGCAATGCTTCCAAGCACTGCTTGCTTGCTGCCCTTAGGCCTTACCTCGTATGTGAGGTTCGGTCTGTTGAAGCTCTGCGTGAAGACCTCGGCGCCATCCATACCTAGATTATGCATGCAGTCCACTTTCACATTTTCCGTCGCTGTCGCGGTCAAGGCCATCACAGGCACATTCTTGAAACGTCGGCGAACTTCACCCACCGCCTTGTAGTCGGGACGAAAATCGTGTCCCCACTGGCTGACGCAGTGTGCTTCGTCAATCACAATACGTGCCAGAAGTCTCCTCTTGTTCAGATCCAGAAAGACTTTGAAGAATACTTCGCTCTTGTTGAGCATCTCAGGCGTAACGTACAGAAGCTGAACAAACTTCTCGGGCTCATTAGATCGTAAGGCTTGGAGGATATAGTTCCGATGTTCATTTGAGGTCTGGCCATTGACCAGAACAGCCTGAATGTGCAATTTTTGCAGATGATCCACCTGATCCTGCATCAGACTGAGTAAGGGAGAGACGACGATGGTCACCCCTGCTGTCCGCCCGCTCTGTACCACAGCTGGCAACTGATAGCAGAGAGATTTGCCTCCTCCGGTAGGCATTAGCACGAAGGCGTCCTTGCCGCCCAATGTCGCATTGATGGCTTCCAGTTGATTGTGGCGGAATTCTTGGAGATGAAATTTTTTCCTTAGAGCCGAATACACTTCTTTCGACCATGGATATTGCATCAGCGCCGCGGGTGAGGGCCGTAGGGATGACGTGGATGCGGGTTTCTGAGGCGAAGTTCTGCGGATGTTGTCGCTCACCTCACGCAGGGCAGTGCGCTCACTCCGGGAAGCCGTTGTCATCGATGACAGGTTCTGTTCGAACTGCTCTGCAACTTTGTACATTTCTTCGTCATCTAGACCGTCCTCGAAATCCTCATCATCGAATGGAAAGTCACGCGTTGGGCTACCCATCGTTCTTGAAAAGCCTCCCATGTTAACTTCTGTATCTGCATTTGCGAACGCGAGACTTGAACCGGTAATGTCCAAGCCAATAGGCATGGAACGATGCGTCTTTGTGTACTCCGATAGTTGTGTTCTTCTAGGAGAATCACGACAGGGAGAAGGACGCCGATCTGGTGACTTGATAGCTATGTCAACTACGTCGTACCGGTTCAAAGATGGAGTTTGGCTAATCGACTGCGTCGAGAGGTGAGAGAGACCACGCGGGGTCTCATTCTTCGTATTCTTTGACGTTGATTGAGGTAGCTTTTGTGTTGAGGCAACCAGGACCTTCTGGTCGACTAGCCTTGGACTCGAGCAGAGCAGATGATCTCGATCTATCTTTGGAGGGTCTTCCATTCTGCTGGATGTCGACACTCCCAACTGTTCCAAAAGGGTGAAGATTGTGAGTTCTCGAGAGTCAATTTCACTCTTCGCCTTGAAAATCTTTGCGCACAGCGATGTCAAGACATCCTCGTCATCATCGGGATCAACGATGTGGCCTGCCTTGTGAATTTCTTCTCGCTGAACGAACATCTGTTCTCGTTGGCTTCGAAGTTTCCAAAGGCTGGCAGATTCTTCCTGAAGTCGGGTTGCTGCAGTGATCTTGGCCCCTATTTTCTTCCGCCTTTCCTTTAAGTGGTTGGAAGCAGCGCCCCGTTCGCACATCTCATCCAGGATTTGTCTGTCGACGACTTCTTTCGAGTCCTCAAGCCGTCGCACAAGACCCTGCAGCTGCTCTTTACCGTCCATAACAAAGCTGTCAATCAGCTTTCTCTGTTTCAATGTCAGGTCGCCGGTCAGGTTCGGGGTCGGAACGTTGTTGTTGAGCATTACTTCTAGGTTCGACGTCGTCCGAGGCGTCACCGTCGCTCTAATTTGGACCGAATCCGACGGCCCAGACGCTCCATCAACCTTCAACAGTTGTGATCGAACCGGTGAGCGGAAAATAATTTCCGTATCATGTCCTCTTGTGACCATATTCCCTAAACCTAGACCACCTTGGTCTTTGGAGAGTGCCGTGTCCGACGCTTCGGGTTCGAGCTTGTGAACGGGCGATGCGTCTTCATCTGAGTCATGAATGGTCTTTTGTGACCGCTGCGTTCGGGTTCGTTGAGAACGCACCGGAGCTTGCGGTTTGTGGCTATCTACCGGTACTTTGCTTTTGTGACCTCGACCTCCCTCAACCGTTTCACTACAAGAATCTGGAGAGGTGTCTAGCTCTGAGCCTGCAGCCTTTGGTCGGATTGTTGTTTGTGTCAGACTAACTTCTTCTTGGAGAGGCTCTCCAATAAGGCGCGTCTGGCTGCCGCGGATTGGAGATGCTGTCGTAGGTGTCCACCGCTGGATCATCTTTGTTGACTTCCGACTTGAGTGCGGCGAGAGCAGATCCGATTCGTACTCGTCGCTCTTCCTCTTCTTTCCTTTCTTCTTCGGCGATGGCTCTATACGAGAAGCTGACCTTTCGTTCCATAGCTGGATTGGCGGACCAAATTCGCCGAAGGAAGAAGTTGTGATGTCGCCAGTAAGATCAATTTCGTCAATGTCGAGGATGTCCTTGGAATCGTCAAACTTGATATC